GTTTAGGGGGGGGTGGTCGGGGGACGTCCGTTTCGAGGGGAAAAGTTGCGCTCTTAGAGCTTGTCACTTCCCCGCAAACGTTTCTTCACCTTGTATGGTTGGTATGATTGTGTCTCTTCTTCGTCCTACGTTTCGGATTCTCCAGACTTCACTACCTTTCGCTTCGTTCATCGTCTTTTCCCGCTGGTCCGCTTTTGCCTTCCGGATCATGACTGTCCACTCTCTGCATGCCTTCCGGTGCTCCTCCACGTGATTGGGTTTCCTCATGTTTCTCGCCTTCCTCTCTGCCGAGTTTACCTTTGCCTTCATCTGTTTCATTTCATCTGACCACCAAGAGTTGGCTCTTACCCCCTCCTTCGAGAGTGGTGTTACTATGTTGACTGTTGACCTGACCAGTTCTAGGAAGAAATCGACAGTTTGTTCCGTATGTTCCTTGGTTTCCCATGCCTCTGCGGGGATAGCAATGTTTGACATATGGTTCTCCAAGAGCTTCCAGTCTGTTTGTCGCCACATCCGTCTTGGCACGAATGGTGGTTTTTCCAAGTGTAAGTGGACGGAGGTTCTCCCGTGGTCTGAGCCCGCTCCGTAGGGTTCAGTGCTCCATCGTAGGTTGTGATCGAGTATTGGGCCTTTTACAAATGTAAGGTCGATGGTTGTGGGCCTTTTCCCTCTGTTTCTGGGGAAATGCGTAAAGACGCCTGGTTCATTCAGGAGGGACAGTTTCTGTCGGGTTATCCATCGTTTTAGTCGTGCACCATTGACGCGGTCTGCTCGAATATTGTTTCTGTATTCATGTGAATTTACTCCATACCACATTTGATGGTGGCAGTTGAAGTCTCCCATTACTAGACAATTATCAAGGGTTTGGATTGTACTTGCTATTTGAGCGAAGGGGCCACTTCGGCCTGGGGAGTATATGTTTAGGATTTGGGTTTTCTTGTTCTGGATTTCTACCGTAATCGATACTATGAAGTTATCATGTGTATAGTGGTGTTTTGGTTTCAGGTTGGCATGTTTGCGGACATATGTTGCGCATTTCGTATTGGTATTGCTGGCTGTAAAAAGGTAAAAGAGATTTGATTCTGGTGGATATCCCTCTGTTGAGGTCCATGGTTCTTGTAATAGTAGGAAATAAATGCTCGAGTCTGTTTCTGCTTCTTCCACCGCCGCCTTGGTGATTAGTTCGCTCCGTGCACAGTTAAGTTGGTGTGCGAGCGCGGTTGTTCGAGGCCTAGGCATTATTCGACATGTGTTGGTCGTCTTCGGGAACGGGTGTGGCTTCGACCGGGGCGGTGGCTGGTACTTGGATTATTGAAAGTGGCTCTTGGGCGGGTGCGGCGGGTGGGTCTTGGGCGGGTGGGGCGTTTTCCTTTCCTTTGTTGAGGAATCGGCGTTTAACTCTTTCAGGGCATGCTGGGTCGGAAGCCTTATGGATTCCTTTGCAGTTCAGACATCTGATTGGGGTGTGGGTGCATCTATATCCTCCCTGGCATTGATTGCATGGGTGGAAACTGGTGAGGTGATCTCCGGCGCAATGGCCGCATTTCCCATTGTTCTTACATTTCTCTTGGCGGTGGCCGTACTCGAGGCACTTTGCACACTGAGTATCCGGGAAGGTTGGGAGGAAGGCCTCGATATGGCAGCTTCTGTTGAAGAGAGATAGGAATTTAACTCCTAGTGTTTCCATTGTAATTTGTCCTGGGAGCGCGATTACCATTGATGAGTGGGTTTTCTCCATTCGAGTCTCTGCTCTGGAGATCCAGCGGGGAACCTGTGCAAGTTGGAAGTTCTCTCCATAGTTGCTTCTGATTTCTGATGCTACCAATTGTCCCGCCTCGATGCCCTCCCCGACCGTTGTGGGAATTCCATGGAGGAGAAACTTTGACCATTTAGAGTTTGCGCGGATGACAGCGACTGGTACCTGTAGGGTGAGGAGGGCCTCCTCAATTTCTTTGGCATATTCCATTGCCTTTGTTGCAGGGGTGACGAACTTTGTTTCCAGGATGAAGTTGTCCTTGGGTGTTCTCCTTGCTGAAATGAAATGGCAGGATTCGTCCTGAATCCTTGCATTGACTAGGGTCCTGATCTCAGAGGGGTTGACGTCGGATGTGGCAGTGGTTTCAACAATGATCTCCCTGTTGATTTTGGTGTACTCTGGTTTGAAGAGGGGGTCCGCTTTTGGCTTTGCGGACTTCTTTTTCCTCTCGACAACCTGGAAGTTTCCTTGGGCAGGACCGGGTGCCGAGGCCACGGCGGCCCAGGTGCCTGCCTTCCATCCCCGGGGTGGGGCTTGTTGGGGGGGTGCGGGTGGGGGGGCCCGAGGAGCTGCCTGTGGCGCTGCTTGGGGAACTGTTTGTGGGACCGCTGGAGGGGGCATTCTCTGTCCTTGCGGTTGTTGTGGTTTTCGCTGTTGTTGCTGTTGTTGCTGTTCTTGCTGTTGTTGCAATTGCTGCGGTTGCTGCGGTTGCGGTTGTTTGCTCAGGAGGACGTGGATCGCCGAATGCATATTGGTGATCATATGTGTCTGCGCCTCGATCTGGTGTCTCAGTGTATCCACTGTTCTCCGGAGTGTAGTTGTTTGCTCTTCGAGGATTTCAATCCTGTCGGAGGGTGGGCAGATCCGGCTGGTAGCATGTCTGATGGCCCAGGTGATATAGTTCAGGTCTGTCTGGGTGTGAGTGTCCTGGGGGACGACGCTCGGGTAGAGGTAGTCAATTCTTGGTTGGTATGGGTCGTTGTAGTCGGATTCTGTTGCAAAGGTCGAGGAGAATTCCTGTTCCTGAGCTCCGGATGGGGTTGGGTCGGGGACCGGAGTGTTCCTGTTCTGCGGGGGGGCTGTCCCTTGCTGGGAAGACTGGGTAAAGAAGGACTGGAGCGAAGCTTGCTGCGACATGATTGAATGTCCAGTTCTTCTGGCGGCGTAGAGTGATGTTTCGGAAAGGTTTCTTTTCCTTCCTTTCGGGAGGTCAAGGCTGGAGAATTCTTCGCTGGAGGCCAGTTTTTCGTAGATTTCTTTCGCTTGGAACAACAAAACGCGACCTTACGATCGGGGACGAAGTGGCTCAACCTGGTATAGTATACCAGGGTAAACCGAGGGGAATAAATTAAAATGTTTTTGAAGCGAGGTTTGTTATCAGGGAGTTCTTCGCGAGCGAGTAAAGTACAGAGGTTGCGTAAGGAAAGAAGGAAAGAGAGAAAACAGATAAAAACACGAGACAACGCCCCCTTATATATCCAACCATAGTCCGATGATGACTAATACCTCCGCATAACAGAAACTAAAAGAACATAAGAGAAATCCCAATTACAAATCCTAATCCCACTGCGCAATACCACCTCTTCTCATTCCAGTTTATCACCTAACCGAAATACATATCTACCATTACAGGTGAAGGATAGGCTCTCAATGGAGAACATATTGTCATATTGCTGGATGAAGGTCTTTAATTGCTCCGCTTTGCCTTGGAACTTGCAGGGGGTGGTGCTTTTGGTTCTTGGGCCCTGCTAGATGCAGAAGGGGGAGAGGCGGCTGGAGGTCGGTACTGTTGGGACCTCATGGCCAACAGATCCTTCTGCTGCTTCTCCAACTTCTTCTTGAGGTATCCCCACCAGCCTCTTCTATCACCACCTTCTGGTTCCGAGCCTGAACTGTCAGAACTATCTGAATATCCTGGAACGTGAGCGCGGGCCACAGGAGGTGAAGGGTTCTGATTTCCACCTCTTCCACCCTATGCATTAGCTGTAGGGGGATCGGTGGCTGCAGCAGGAGGAACCACAGGTGCTACTTGTGCCAGGTTACTGGCCAATGATGAGGTTGCTGCTGTATAAGCTGCTCAAAACATTGCGATCTGTTGCTGGTTCCTGACTAGTACGCTAAGAGGTCCTTGGCCTCCACCTGAGTAGAGCTCACCCTCGTAGTCAAATAGTCAGTAGATTCCTCCAAGGAGTGGGTATACTCTACTAGATTGGTTAGGTGGTAAGGGAAAGGCTCTCACCACTGGCTGTACAATAGGAATGACTCTCCTAGTGGATCGGACCGGAAATGCTGCGAAGGGGCTGTTCCTTGGTACATTGTTCTGGTAGCTGCTCATACTGCCCATACTGCCGGTACTTGTATATCACTGTACAACTAGCTTCTAACAATAAATCTCAGCATGTAACTGGGCCCTGTGTATATTCATACCCCAGACAGTGGAAATGGCACCGTTATACTCGCCTTTCACTTTTGTAATTCCTTTTCTTTCTTTCTTTATGCAATGTATTTTTATTTTCTGTTACTTTTAAAACAATACTATTGTTCACCTTGTTCCCCGATTTTCATCTTACTCTCCCTTTGTAGGACATACCAGAGGGATTCTGAATTACCCCTCGTATTATCCTATTTCTTGGACAAAGTTCCTCACGATTTATTCTTGCCTCCAAGTTGAACTCGATTCCTTTTTACCCAGTCCGATTCATACTCGAGTGTATTCTCAATTGATTCTCGTTCCCGCCTTGCCCCATTAGATTATGACAGGTTTGAAAGTGCCGTAGTTTGGTTTTCAAAATCTTTTCCATCTCAACTAATTAAGGGCCTTTTTGTATAGAAAACTATTTTTTATTTAAAGAATTCAATAATTCTTGAATCTTAGATTTCCAGTATAGAGACTTTGGCTTAGGTCTTTCCCTCCCTGTCAAGCTTTGATGTTGAATATCATTTCTCATAACCTTTTCATTTCCAGAGGTACAAGAGCATATATGGTACTAATAACTATCCAATAAGAGAATATGGGGAATCATTAGCTGTACAGGAGCTGTTATTTGTACTTCGTATTTTGGTAATAGAGTGAATTGTTGAATAAATTTTTCAACAATTTCCACTTTTGATTTTGAACCACTATATCATTTAACATAACTATAAAGGGACATGGGATCCACAGCCAATTGACATATAATACAAATGAGGATTTTGTGCATCGGATTATATAGTAAATTCAAACAGCTTGCATAAGGGAATAAAGCTAATTTTTATCTTGAATACTTTTGAGGACAAAACTAAATGGAGTCTTTGAAAATGGTGTATTAATACCATTTGAGCCGGTACCAGATGCTATAATACTAGCACTTCTTGGGAGAGGTATCAGAGGTTGATGTGGTTCGGAAGGTGCGTCTTCTATTATTTATAAATGTTGGTGGAATCAGTGGATAGACCAATAACCCAACGATTGTAGGAATAAAAGTACCATTATTCATTGTTAACATAATAATATCCGGCATTTCTTGAAACTCAGTGTTTGCATTTGAGTTTATTTCCGAAGGTGCTGTCCATTTGTATATTTGTCAGTATAAACCATATTTATATTTTATAGTAGAAGTAAGACCCTAACCCGACGTCTGGTTCGAGACAACAATGGAGGTATTAACTAGGTAGCGGTAACGAGCCTTGCTAACTATTATTGCCGGCGGGATGGCCTACCCCTCATTGTTCTAATCACAACCTCGTCAAATTTACAACCGAAATCACCAACCATGTGTTTCCATATATAACTCCATTTGAAAATTTCTCCATCTGACAGTTGCGCATAATTGCGCTCGTTGTAGGGTCTGTTGAAGTTAGGGCTTGCGTGCTGGGTTGTGACTGCGGGCAGGGGTTGATCAATGTCACTTCTCTTCTGTGATATCTATACTGGATAATAGAATCAGCACGATCTTTAATCAACGTTCAATTCATTCTACAAACTTCAAACGGACCGTTATCGATACTAATGGGATCCCCTATCTAATGTACCCCAAACCTATTCTACCAGACGGTTTGCTAGTCGTATCCCGAGAGGGCCACACCGTCTCGTCTGTTTGGACAACTCGGCTTGCCTACTACTAAATTTTGCCCGCTGGTGTCATGACAACTAGGAAAGGGCACGCACGCAGCTTTTAGATCAAGCCACCATATCACCGGTGGGGCGTTCCCGAAGCGCACACAGCATGTTAGCCTAGGATCCGGGTCATGGTCCAGCAATAGCTGTATCATCCCCTCCACATTCTTCACCTTCTCCTTTAACCTCCGATATATCGCAACATCCAGCAGTGAAACGTCCTGTGCAACCTTAAGGTCACTCGGCTGCATCTCGAAGCGCGCCACCTCGAACAGCCAGTGCACCAGCTCCACATCCCCGCGTAGGACTGCCTAGTGCATCATCTTCCCGCCGATATCTTTGTCCATAGTCCAGGTCTGATGAATAGATTCGACAGGACTGATACCATGCGCCAGGAGAAGCTTGAGGAAGTTCATTTCCGTGACGATTTGGTCCGGCCCGAGCTCAATCGCATGGTGGCGTAGGGGACTGTACCTTGTTGTTGTTGTTGTTGTTAACTCATGAATTATATGAAACCCGAGGGTCACGACAATCGGGGCTTGTACCTGAGTAGGGGGTTAAAAAGTCACCTGCGCTCGAGGCGGGGCGGGCGTTCGACGCTTTCCCACGCATGTCGGAACCTGGACCCAAGGCTGTGTTGCACTTCGCGCTTGAGCCTGTCTCGGACCCAAAGTTCGAGCTCAAGGTTTGCGGTATCGGGGGTGGGGCTGAGGGCGAGGGCAAGGATACCCCGGAGGGATGGAATGCGGCGGGTGCTGACCGCCCAGCTGGTAATTTCTCTGAAGTCGGCGGTGAAGCGGCTATGGAGAGTGGGGGCGAAGATATGCTTGAGGGTGCGGCTAGTGCGGCAGAGGCGTGACAGGTCACGCTTAGAGAGGCGGTTTTCGATGAGCAATATGAGCTCGAGCGGGAGACTGGGGAAGAGGTTTGAACCGGTGGAAGACATATTGCTTCTTGTTGTTGGGGGGTCGGTAACGGATATATATGACGTTGTGGTTGTGTATGCGAATAAGTATTTACATACTCGCGACAGGCAACATGTACGAAAATGCAGCTGCATTGCATTGGTGTATTTTCCAATAGTATCTCCAGATCAAGAGGGTATACCTATAACATATCTGATGCGAGCAGTACTAGAGTACCAAATTGCACGGCGTTTCCGAACACGACTGCCATTGCATGCCATACAAAATTGCGGACTTGGCGCGGTTTTGTATGATATATATGCAATAGAAGCCGTGTTTGAAAACGCTATGAATGGATAATAATCATATTATGCAAAGGCTCTTTAAAGAGTCAGCGAGATATGTACCAGTCTGCAATGCCTATGTCCGCAATGTTGCATGAGGAGAGGGATGAAATGGTAGGCTGACCTCAAATCTGCGCTGCTATGCATGGCCCCCATTGCATGATGATGGCCTGAGGTTTTCCAGGTTTTCGAGGCATACATACATTCAGGCGGCCAGCCAAGTCCGCCAAGGAAAAGCTGCGCTGGCACTCTGTCCTCCTCTGGGGGAGCAGACTCGTAGATTAGAGTAGCTCAGTAGAGTACTCGCCCAACCTTTAAGTCTACCTATTCTGAAGTCTACTTCTATACACAAAGTATCAACAGACTCGAAATTCGAGTACAAACCTTCATCTCTCCTCTCACATGGCCCCCACCCAACGACTCAAACGAGGGGCATCCTCCGCAAGGGGCCCTGCCTCCGCCGCCGCTCCCGTCCCGTTCGTTAAGGTTGAGGTCAGAGCCGACAGTACGTTCTCGCCACTCCCATCCAGCCATCGGTCCTATAGTGAATGCACGCCAATGGACATCGACCCTTCCAGTCAAGGGACACCGACACCGACACCGACTCCCCTAGTCATAGACCTCACAGGCGATGATGAACCACCCACAGCCCAATATCGGGCGAGACGACTGATGCAATTGCCGCCTGTGCAAGAACCCGTCGTCCAACGCACGGAACCGTTTCCTCAAGAATCAGGAACGAGGACAGCTGATACTAGGACGGCGGGCAAACTCGATATCTTCATGAGACGGCTATCACAGCTCGAGGAGGGTCATAGGAATCACGTTACGGAGGTTAAGGGATGCTTTACCCAGCTGTCAGAGAGGATGGATCACGCCGAGAGTCAACGCAAGGAGGAGGAGAAGAACCGTCAGCAGCAGCGTGAAGAAGATCTGAGACTGCGTAAGGAGGAGCGTGAAGAAGATCTGAGAAAACGCAAGGAGGAGCGTGAAGAAGATCTGAGACAACGCAGGGAGGAGCGTGAACAAGACCTGGGACGGCGCAGGGGGGAGGAGCAGAACAGTCACGGACGGCATTGCCAATTGGTTGGGTTGCTCGCGCAGGGCATCCACATGGTCCATCAGAATATGGGGGGGTCCAGTTCTGCTACTTCATATCGGTCTCACATCCGACCTTTCAACATGCCGCCGCCGCCGCCGCCCGCAGCGGGGCCTAGTACAAGGGCTGTGCCTCGGAGCGCGAATAGGGCATGTTATCCGGCTACGTCCCCCCGGCCCGCGTACAACAACCCCCGTAACTCGAAAGGCCGGAGGAGGAGGCGGAGCACCGCCCACGCCTGCGGGGCCGGCGCACACACGCCCTCTGCCAGCACTGCAGGCATAGCTGCAAGGGGCACGGGGGCTGTGCCCGGCGGCATCCCGACCGCCGACGGAGCCACGGGCCCAGTCCATACCATCAATTCTGCGACTAGAGTTTATTCCACCACCGCGACGCAAACCCAGCATTCTCCATCCCCACAGGCATCGTCCAGTACTGCACCCGGCAGCAGGACTGACAACCGCCCGGAGAGTCGCAGCAGCGGGACCGATTAGCCCGCACCCCTCCGCCCCGCACGGCGTCTAGGTAATATATTGTGAGGAGCGAGCGCGTACGAGGGGTGAATGTATACGGGGTCCCAGAAGGTTGCATATCTCTAGCCTTGAGGTCACGAAAATGCATAACAAGCCAGTCCAAGAGTTGCTGGTGGATTGCTGTATCTTACACTTGCTCGGTCCGATAATACAGTAGCTAGTAGTACTATAGTGTACTGCAATAACAACGTTAATATACCGTATTGAGCGGAGTAAATCCTCTGTTACTACACATGTCCTGGGCGTATAAGACAATGGAGAATCTCTCTGATGCATTAGCGTTTCGAAATTGGGTGTAAAAGAGTCGGGCAATCAGATCAGGGTTCTCAGGGTTCTCAGGGTTCTCAATGATAGTGCGGCGCGGTATGGTGATGTGTATCGCCCAAACCTATTCTCACACCAAGAAGTTTGCGCGGAAGCCACTTGAAGCCACAAAGAAAAATACTAGTACGTATGTACGTACAAAATCAACCGTAAGCTGCCGGCCAATCAGTGGCAGTCCATTGAATTTGTGAGGGGTTGACCGACGTCCCCCCGGCCCTCTTATTCAGTTGTGTGCAGCGCCGCACAGGGCTCCAGCACCAATCCCACGTCTCCATCACCATATATAGCACCTCGATCTTTTCGGCACAATCATCGCTATGCCACTAGTACCACTGCCACCATCCACACATCTCCAGTAGTAAGATCTAGGTGTGTTCACAGCCACCCTGCCGGGCGGGTTTGGTGGACTTATGTTGGGTGATATCCAATTTCTGTCCTCGAGAGGTTTTTGATGATGCGTATGTACTCCGCTACGATGCGAGTATCAACTCATGTGCTACAGGGGTGGATGTTTGATGCCTAGAACCCATATATGTGCGCGACACACATGCATACACATTACCAGCGGGCGGATGTCTTGGCGCGAGTGATATCGTGTGATTACTTGTTCCGGTTCGGGGGCGGGATGGAATCTGTCTCCTGGAGGAGAGTGCTGGAAGCTAAGCGAGGGCATAGGAAACACAGAGATACATGTAGGAAGGACTGATTGAATCCTTTCGTGGTTGCTGGTTGCTGATGATGTTTCCAGCTTCCGCCATTTCAAGACCTTCTGGCTGGTTTGACCCTGCTCTACGGAAAACAACTGGGACTACAACGGTACAAGCAGGCTTCGACCAGCATATGACATAGGTGTCTCAGATCCTCACAAAGATTAATCAACAGATGAGGCGAGGGTGTTAAGGCATCTGCCTTGGCGCTAGCCGATGATACAAACCGGTATTTGTGTATCCAAACAGAGAGATGTTCCAATAGCATTATAGTGATGCACCGATACCCGATCTCACACATTGTTCTCATAATTCTCCAACTAGTTTCTAGGAAACATGACAGACGTCAAGGTTGACGCAACGACTGCTTCCATTGCGCTCACCGTTTTCGTTCTTATCGTGACCGGACTTCCGTATCTGCTTCTTTCAAAAAGATATTTGCAATATAATCCCGATCGTGAAAGGATTGACTCGACACAGATACCTACGAGGAAAAATGAGCAGAGAAGTGGGTGGGCAGATTCGAGGATTCAGCTTCTCACATCTTCCCTGAGCACTCAGCGCACGTCTGTGCCTGCGGAAGTTATCAAGAATGAACCCCAGCTGAAGTCGATGTCGAGTTACAGCTTCCGTATCTCTGACATACCATCCTCCATTTCGGAAGATCAACTTCGCATATTTTTGGAAGAGTTGACCATCACAAATGGGGAGAGAAAGAATGGAGAAAGCGTCCTGATACTGTCTCTGGCCAAGTCCTGCTCGGGGACCGATTCGACACGATATCAGATAGCAACAGTTACCTTCCGCCAGGTACCAGGGAGACTTCGCTCGTCTACGTCTCAATTCGAGACTGTATCAATTTTGATAACGACAGGAGATAAGTCTACTGAAGTCACTTTTGATTCTCATTTCCTTGGCCTAACACCGCTATTCGGTGCTCAAACCCCCGCGGTTGAGTAAGTTGGATATCATTTACCTCCTTGGTATATCAAGCACGCAAGCCTTGGCTAATTTGGGCGCGGTTATTCAATATAATCGCTGTGACTGGGCTTGCGGGACACGCATTCGGTTCTTGGAAGGCCCGTGGCGGCGTGAAGATGTGGCTTCGCGATTTCCTTCCGTAAGATCTAAACCAAGACGGTCATCATGTTCGAATTTTAACATATGGGTATGATTCGACGCTGGTGGGTAGTTCATCGGATGCCTCGGTCCATGAATTTGCAAGGAGACTTTTATAGGCAGTAAAGGACTCTCGATGTCAGCCACATGTCAGTACAGCATTCCTGTAATATACAAACCAAGTGATATAGATATATATATGTACCCTGGATATGAAAAACTATGAAGCATGGCAAGCTGACCTGTCATCAGGAAGAGTACCGACCAATCATTTTCATCGCGCATAGTTTAGGTGGCCTGGTTCTCAAGCATGTATGAAGGATTCCATCAAAAATAATAATGAACAGTCGTTCTAGCTAACGGTCTAGGCCCTTACCGAGGAAGCACAAGGCGACTCTAGAGACAGGGCCGTTTTTCGATCATCCTACGCGGCGTTATTCTTCGGAGTGCCAAATAGAGGCCTTCTGAACTCTCACTTAATCTCGATGGTGCGAGGTCAGCCAAACGCGCAACTCGTGAGAGATCTTGGGGAAGCTTCACAGTTTCTCCCACAGATACATCGAGAATTTCAGCGTCTATTTATTTTTGAGGATGCCAAGATATTTTCGTTTTACGAGTCGAAGGATACCCGGTCGGTCGTGGTAGGCCTTACTTTTACATTTCCACATATTCATCTGAGAAATATACTGATCATGATCAAATTTACTCGGCTCATAGTATAACCCGATGACGATGAAGTATGAGAGGACAGGTCCGCTTGTACGGATGGTTACGCGCGACTCTGCGACATACTCGGGTCCAAATGAAAAGATCTATCAGAAAATCAACATCGACGCTGACCACTCAGGTATTGTCAAGTTCGGAAGCCGTTCAAACTTTGATTATATGACGGTCAGGAGTAAGATCAGGGAGTGTCTTGAGGAGGCACCACGGGCCATTAGGGCGCGGTTCCCGGATCAGAGAGAAAGTGTGTAACCCCGGTCCGATAGGCAACTATTCCAAGCCTAAATGATATTTGTAGTTGGTCTTGAGATGTGTGTATATATAGATTAGCCGGCTAATGAGAAATTGCAATTCGTTTCAGAAAGCTCCGAAGAGAAACAATGCCTCCGTTCCCTCCTCCCAGGCAACAATAACCCGACCCCGAAAACACCAAGAGCAAGACTTCACCCAGGGACTTGTGAATGGCTACTTGGAGAGGAAACATTCAATGACTGGCATCTCTCCGAAAAAGACTCTTCTAGATTCCTCTGGATCCACGGAAATCCTGGAACGGGAAAGACAGTTCTCATGAACTTTCTGCGAGAGCAGTTGGCCACCGACTCGAAATCACGTATCGCTTACTTCTTCTGCAACGACAAGGACGTCCACAACCGCACAGCGGTGGCGGTGCTGAAGTCCTTGCTGTATCAGCTGCTGCATCAGAACCCGGGATTTTTCCAGCATATCCTCCCAGAATATGAGAAATTCAGGTTGGATAAGGAAACGAATTGGTCTGCTGCCGCGCTATGGAGTGCCTTCCATAATATAGTCATTGATCCGGCCGCAGAATCGGTGTACTGCGTTGTTGACGCCCTGGATGAGTGTCTTGATGATCAGGGTGGAAACGACTACCGCAGGTCGGATCTGCTCCGCGACCTACATGATCTATACCTTTCTCAGTCATCATCACAGTGTACAGCACGAATTGTACTGAGTAGCCGCCCTCTTCCGGCAATTCAATCGTTGTTACCAAATATCAGTCTTGTCATCCGCCTTGAAGACTTTAATCGCTCAGACATAGGCCAGTATATCTCAGATGAGGTCGACAGACTAGCTATCAAGGGCAAATATCCCCCTGGCCTGAAGGTGGAGGTTCAAAAAACCATTGAAGAAATGTCTGGTAATATGTTCCTTTGGGTTTCCTTGACCGTGAACGACCTGAGCAAACGCCGCACCATCAAAGAAGTCCGCCATCTCCTGAATACCGTCCCGCGGACATTATTCGCATATTACGAATGTATTCTCGCGAGTATCAGCAGCGAAAACAGCGATCGAGCGAAAGTTCTTCTTATGTGGATTGCGCATGCTGCCACGCCGATAAGGCTCGAAGAGCTGGCCCTAGCGATTGCGGTCAGAGATGACGCTCGGTCAATCGCTGAAATTGAGGAAGATATGCCATTGAATATCGAGGATCATATAATGGAACTTTGCAGCCATTTGGTTGAAATTGTAGACACCTACGTTGTGCTCATTCACCAGAGTGTCAAGGAATTTTTAATGACCGCCGGTGAGCGCGTGGGGTTGGACAGTCCTCCTTTCGAGCCACGCTACCACAGGATATACCACGTACCGTTGCAGGAAGCAAGCTCTAAACTCACCAGAACATGTATAACATATCTTACGTTTATCAACCATACACAAAGACCGCCTGCTATCGATGTTTCGGAGTGCCCCGTGTTGGGCTGGCCCATTCATGCCCGTCTCAGCGCCCCACTCGACGACAAAACTAAACATGTCTTTCCTAAATTCTTAGACATCAACAGCGCCCACTTTAGCGTGTGGATGAAATACTACTGGGATTTACATTTGGCGGGGGAAAGCTTCGAAGGTGAAATTCAGAGCCATATCCAGCCTCTATACGTTGCCTCGCTCCTGCATATCACACCTCTTGTGAAACTGCTTTTAGAGGATGGTGCCGATGTGAACAACCAGGGAGGAACGTATATCAACGCACTGCAATGCGCAGCATCTAATGGGGGCAGCATAGATATAGTAGAGATCATTGTGGGGGAAGGAGCAGATGTGAATGCGTATGGCGGATTTCACGGAACAGCGCTGATGGCAGCATCCTTTAGTGGCAACATAGAAGTGGTCAAATTTCTCTTGGTATGCGGTGCCAAAACCGATCTAGTGGGTGGAAAGTTCGGCGATGTCCTTCAAGCGGGAGCATGGCGGGGAAACCTCGATATCATAAAGTTATTATTGGATAGTGGGGCCAGTATCAACGTGCTGGGAGGGGAATTTGGTAATCCATTACTTGCGGCAGCTTGGTCGGGCCATCCTGACGTTGTTGAATTCCTTCGGGATCAGGGGTTGGACGCAAATAATCGCGGTCGACTAAATCGTTTTCCACTTCAGGCCGCAGTTAGGAGAGGCCACACAATAGTGATACAAAAGCTTTTACAAAGAGGTGCAGATGTCAATCTGAAAGGAGGGGTTCACGGGAGCGCTTTACATGCTGCGATCATTGCGGACGATACAAAGCTTGTACAGCTATTGGTCGACGCCGGAGCTGATGTCAATATGCCAAACCGGAAACATGGGCCTCCCTTGCATACCGTAGTTCTTCGGGGTTTGGGCGGGGCGGTGCGGACTCTTGTATCCGCTGGAGCTTCAACTACCGCGCGAAATTTGAAGAATCAGACCCCGTTAGATCTAGCGATCGAGCAAGGTCATATAAGCATAGAAAATCTTCTGCGGGGGCTGGATGTGAATATAGGAATGGTGAATAAAGGAATGGAGAGCTTGGAGGAAAATCTGGTCGTTTTAGATTGAGTTGACTCATGTGTATGTGGTATGGATAGCGTCTGTAGAAGAGTACCTACAAAGATTCAGTGTTTTCTTCTCAGAGTACTCCAAAGTATGAAATCACAATGACAAATGGGATATTACGCAAGAGGAAGCAGCCTAGATCATTTGGGCGTTGGCAAATACAACATACACGTGCGGGGTATACTACAACTCACATATCAGGAGGCCATCAAGCCTTAAGCCCACGGAAAGTATGAGGGTCCGCGCACAGGAAATTCTTTAGTACGAGCGCTTCAACAGCACATTACGGATACCTGTTCTTGGCCAACTTCTACGGCTAACCTATTAACTATAGGGCCACTCAACAATTGGTAGGTCTAGCTTATCAGCCGAAGTGGGCCATATCCCTGAATAGCTGTAGTATCCTCAGTTTGAGAGATTGAATAGGAAACAAGATAACGTACAAAACTGCATCAGCGTTGGGAACATTTAGAATATCGTAACTCTTACGAAGCGAAGTATAAATGTGTGGCATAAGAAATGACTGGAAGCTCCTCGCCCAATGAGCTACACGAAGTACCAACCATACGAGAGGGGGGACATATCATGGAAATAGGAGAAATGGCTTCTATAACAATATACGGAAACACTAAACCACAAAAGAAGGAAACGCGCAGAACCTGTACTGTGTGACTACATAGGACCTGTGCGGTTCGAAATCAAGCAGGAGGATGCAACAGGTGGGGGTAAGTATATGAAGTCCTAGGACTTCTATTCCATATGCATGCTTTCGAAAAGGCTATTGTGCTCGAAACCTGCAGCACGCAAAATAGCGGAATCTGTGGATTCATATAGTTGGATAATGCCATTCACAGTGTCTGGTTGCGAGCTAGATTGATCCCGGGTACCGCTGCTGATCTGGGTGCTAAGTGGAGTTTTGATCTCGGAGGGCGTAGGGACATCTGACTGAGTAGGAGATGTACTTATCGATTGTTTGGATGCCTCAAGGAGCATTAACACTATATCTGTGTGCCCATGGCCGGTCGCAATAGATATCGCCGTCGAGTCGTCATCTGTTGGAACCATCGCATCTGCACCTCTCTCCAGGAGCACCTTTACCACGTCCAAATGGCCGGTCTCCGCGGCGAGGTGCAAGGCATTCCAACCATCAGCCTTTTCTGAGACATCAGCACCTCTGTCCAGCAATAACTCTGCCAGTTCCGTGTAGCCATTCGCTGCGGCAAGGTGAAGAGCACTCCAACCATTAGGGCTCTTTACCGAGATATCAGCACCGTTGTCCAGCAGTAAGTTCACCACTTCCAAAAATCCATACTGTGCGGCGGCGAGCATCGCATTCCAAGCATTAGACCTCCTCTCGATCTCTGAGATATCGGCACCTCTCTCTAGCAGTAACTTTACCACTTCCAAATGGCCACACACCGCGGCAAGGTAAAGAGCATCCCAACCATGAGACTCTATCTCCGAGATATCAAGAGTATCTCTGTCCAGTAATAACCGTACTACTTCCAAGTGACCATTCCGTGCGGCGTGATGTAGAGCGTTCGAACCATCAAGGTCGTTGTCTGAAATATCGGCACCTCTCTCCAACAACAACCTTGTCACCTCCAAGTGACCATTCCTTGAAGCGTTGTGGAGAGCACTTGAACCATCAGACTCCTTGTCTGAGATATCAGCATCTCTGTCCAGAAACAGCCTTGCCACTTCCAAGTGACCATTCAATGCGGCAATATGTAGCCCATTCGAACCACGAGGCTCCTTCTCCGAGATATCAGCACCTTTATCCAGCAATAACTTTACCACTTCGAAGCGGCCCTTCCCCGCCGCCCAGTGTAGAGCATTAGAACCATGAAAGTCCTTGTCTGCTATATCCGCACCTCTATCCAGTAGACACCTTGTCACCTCCAAATTACTGTGTAGTGTGGCGATGTGTAGCGCACTCGCACCACTACGCCACTTTGCGGAGATATCAGCGCCTCTCTCTAGAAGTAACTCCATCACTTCAGGATGGCCGCACTCCGTGGCGACATGTAGAGCGCTCGAGCGACCAAGGCCGCTGGGTGTAGTATCAGCAGCTTTATTCAGCAAACACCTTGCCACTTCCAATTTATTACTCGCAGCGGCGAGATAAAGAGCATTCCAACCATGAGACTCCTTTGCCGAGATATCGGCCCCCCCCTCCAGCAGCAAGCCCGCCACCTCTGCATGACCTGTCTGCGCAGCGATGTGTAGAGCATTGCAACCTTGAGACGCCTCCGCCGAGATATCAATCCCTCGGTCCAATAGCAAGCTTACCACCTCCACGTGACCTGCCTGGGCGGCGATGTGCAGAGCGTTCCAACCGTCATCCGACTCCGCCGAGATGTCAATATCTCTATCCAGCAGCAAGCGTGCCACCTCCAGATTGCCATACTGCGCAGCGAGGTGTAGAGCATTGTGACCGGTGGATAACCGTTCCGTCATGTCTGCCCCCATATCTAAAAGAAAACTGACTATTTCGTTATTTCCGCCTTCAGCCGCTCCATGCAGCGGAGATGCTTTCTTACTTCCCCCTACCCCCAGATGCGCGCCATTTTTCAGTAACAGTTTGATTACGGGCAAATGCCCATGCTGGGCGGCCCAGTACATAGCTGTATATCCCTGGCTATCTGCCGCCATGACCCTCGCCCCCCGCCGTAGCAACATTGTAATTAGCTCACAGTCGCCATTTTCGGCTGCAGCAACAAATGCGTGGTTTAGTGCAGCTGTACGAGCTGGATTAGTTTAAATGGTGACTTCGCGATATAATTAGACCTCGGAATGAATTGCACCATACCTGCTTGTACAGGGGTAAGGTAATTCCCCACTCCGTTGCCCGAAGCTCCAACACTCGACAATGGGCTCCACACAGTCGGAGGCTCCTCGTTCGACTTTGCAAGCCACGAGTGCTCCTTTGCTTTCTCTGCTGGAATTCGATCTTCAGGTAAAGCCTTTACCAGGCTAGCCATGAACTCAATCGCCGAGGGCGGTATATTTGGTGCTTGCGGGCCAGAGCTGGGTGGAAATGTAATCCGGCCTTCGAAAAAGTCTAACACGTGCTTGTACTCAGGAAATGGAGGTTTCTTGGTAATCATAAAGTAGACCAGGCATCCCAGTGACCATAGGTCGACAGCGGTGGTATATTCACTGGTCGAGCCATCTCCGAGACCCCAAACCTCAGGTGCCATGTAGGGTTGAGTTCCGGTGAAGGTTCGCCCAGCAGTTATCCCGTCAAAATGTTTGGCAGCACCGAAATCAGCAATCTTGACCGTAAGTGGCATCCACCTAGCAATTAGAATATTACTAGGCTTCAGATCCCGGTGACAAAAGTCCTTCCTGTGCATTATTTCCAATCCTTCGAGAATCTGTGTTGTAATAATCTTTGTATCATCCTCGGATATGTCACTTTCCTTAGTCAATGCATCTAAATCACCACATGGCAGGTATTCCATAGCCAAATAGATGTTGTATTCATCGTCAAACCACCCTTCCAGTTGAACAAAGTGTTTAGGATACTAATATTGGAGAACAGTTAGTTTACTTAATTCTGGGATGGATCGCGCGGGGGAGGGGGCCGGGGGCGGAGGCGATCAAGTAGTACCGCAAAATCTCAGGGATAACGAACCCAACTGGCCGGACTGGAGATATCCGCTCTGGGACCGGTCGAATGCGCGATTGATCTCGTAACGTTCAGTCGCCTTGGCCAGTGGGAACATGGCTTGGCTTTCCAGTCCAGTTCATAATCACCATATTCGTTATTCCTGAGAGTTTGCGGTTATTGGGAACCTTTACCGCGCGGAGTTGCGTTAAGATTCCAAGCTCATTGGATCTAGCCGATGACTTCCGAACCTCCTTGACCGCCCGAGCGGCATGAGTCTCTCTACATATCTCTTTATAAACCGTACCAAAAGCGCCCGCCCCAAGCCGTTCCTTCCTAGTCCAAGTTTCGATTTTCAAGGGACGGCCGGGGATCGCGACCGTATGTCTATAGCCTCCATCGATAAATTCCGTGGGAAGCCTATGCTCGCCGTATTGTGAAAAGGTAGATGGCATTCTCGCTTTGTTGGTCTATAATTCAGTATTCAGGCGTGCGGGGCATGAATGATGTTCCGAACGCTTTCGAATTTCTCGGCGGAGGAGGCTGAATTAAGTACTTCTGCACGTCACCCACTGTGTAACGATTAAAAACAAAATTGATATCATGGATCAGAAGTGGTGATGCATATGGTGAGATCGAGAATAGAAGTGTCCAGGGTAGGTGGTTGCCTAGAACATGGGGGGCGTAGGGGCGTAGGGGCGCCACCATCTCCAGCCCACCTTCGTCGGATCGATCAGATCTAGCTACATATATATATAGCTATTATTTATAAGGGCTGGAACTACATGTAGTAATCCCCAAATAGCTCTATACATATCGTTATATAAGTACAAGTGCAGTGCGGGCTCCAGCCACTCTATACGCATGTAGTGAGTAAATGAATCGATTAAAGATTTGTCTATTTAGTGCATGGAGGTCGACTTGTTCTGTCTGTCGTATAATTACCAGATTCGCCAAACCTTCGAAGTGAAATGGCACTGCCTAATCTATTTACGTTCAGTTCATGCTATTACCGGTCCGAATTGTTAAAACCTCTGGCATGAGTACTTACTATACCATATATCAGCTCTTCTCTCCCAACAAAGGGCTCACGATCGGGATCGGGTGCCTCTACGCGGCACACCGACCCCCCCTTGCTCGCACTAGTTCGAATTCTAGGTTAATATGTAGTTCACAAAGAGATAGCCTTACCCCTTCTGAAGATCTACTTGGGAGTTCAAAGCTGATATATAAGATAATACCCACAATTCTGTCAGCCTGCGCTTTCAATATTGACTCCCCTCGATCACTTCCCAGATCGGGAGCAGTTCTTTGTCTATATGTGCTTCTATTTAGGCTGTTGCGACCAATAGAATTGTTTCGTGATTACAATGAGGTTGAAGCTTATCCCTTAGACGGATGAAACTGTCAAATTCGCAGCTTGCCTTTTTGAGCTAATGCTAGCCTAAGCAAGTAGCTGACAGTTATTTTTGATTGGCTCTGTGGCTATTATTAACCATTAAGAGCAACGGATATACCCAACTAAGTGCGTGCACGGTCCAGGCTACGAATTTGACAAATTTCATCAGTGCAAGTGATACTATTCAGATAATGGTTGATCCAGGCCTGGCCTGCATACATGTAGCCATAGCTTGCCCCGAAAAGCAATCCATGGGAGAACCCTCTAATATTCACATAATGTATCTTCTTTATGCATAAACCTAGGCCTTCGTGTTGAAAATACTTTATCATATCCGGCCATCTGCTTGAAACTCGCGCCTTGGGTGTCTATTATATGTTAGCACCCGACGGCTTGGCGCTGCTATAAAATATTATCCATGGTTTTCTGGCAGTAGTACTAGATATACTTTAAGGCGTCAGTAAGGATCCTATTGCTGTTACTCGGACCAAATACAGAAGCCATGATATAACAACTATACGGATGCATCGCCAAAACCGTAATAGACCACCGGCCCTCACCGTGGATACTCCTCTGGGATGTTTTTCTGCCATATAGCGGTAGCCTATACTCATAGTGGCCGTCACCATTCTATATTAGTCGTTACAATTAAGAGAGAATTGCCTGGTGTGGTGGTGGGTGTTACATGTTGCTAGCCCTAGATCCATTGTACCGTGTTCCGGTAGTGGTCTATCCGTCTCTTTGCCGCAAGGGTTTACACTAGCGCGAGGCCTTGATCATGAATATATAATAGTGATGGGCCGGGCACGAGATAAGTTGTCTCGTGACCTTGGGCAAAACAAGACGAGACTGGGGGGTGGACAAGATGAGACGAGACAAGACGATGTCTGGAGGTCTCGAGACCTTTTTAACCTTTTTTCCCTCACCTAAATATGCTCTTCAGTCTCAGTTCTAAAAAAATGAACAAAGCCTGGACTTTTGATTTCCATTAATTAGCATGATAGCGTAGCTTTCCCAGCCCTAACGTCACATGACGTAAATTATAAAGTCTCGAGACTTTGAACATGACGAGACTAGGCCATTGTCTCGAGACTTTCAAGACTCAGTTCGAACAATACAAGACGAGAGGGGACGAGACGAGACTTGCCCAAGTCTCGTCTCGTCCTTTCTCGTGCCCATCACTATTCATGACCATTCAGTTGCCGTTCTTGGCAATGAACGAGTGAAACTATGTAGTTTTTTTCCAAATCAAGAGAAGTGTATCTGAATTCCTCAATCCTCTTTTGTATTGAGGACAGCCAAGGGAAACGGCGACCAAGTGGCCACGGCGACTGGCCAGCCTCGCGCGGCCGCGCGGTAATATTTCGCAGAAGACCTATAAAACGGTTATCTTGGCATTCGAGTGACACACTGTGATCAGTCGCCCAATTCTTAATGTCACGTTGACTCGACTTACTACAGCCAATCGGATTTGTGTGTTGCCCGCCCACAACCGCCCGGAGACAGAAAGATGAAACGGAGGATTGGTCAGCGCTGTTTGAGAGAAGAATTTCACCAAATGCACTTAAGGTCCATACTAAATGTGATTTGGATTTTAATCCTTAATCTAGTCATCTTATCGATATCCTAGGAATTGCTGAACTGTGAACAGTCTTTCGTTATTACCTCCATAAACTTCCAGAATTATCCTCTTGTAAATAATCCTTACCCTACGCTAAAAATTAAGGTATGTTTTAAACATTGCGATCGCGACAAACACCCTCGATCTGAAACCTCTCACGTGAGAGCGCGAACGATAATACCCAATGCTGAGAAACTTATTTTTGTATATCTATGAACCTATGGTGCCCCCGTGAGTGGCACGGGGAAAACGCCAAGTCTCGAATAACTTTTCAACCACAACAGTTATTAAAAATCGGTAAAGTAAAACTCTTCTTCATCACGGTATCTGCTTTTTTCTTTACAGACTTTTAATAACTGTTGTGCTTGAAAAGTTATTCGAGACTTGGCGTTTTTCTCATGTTACCTTTATGACTCTGCGCACCATACTTATATATCACTCCAAGTGCTTTGCCACTATAGCTTTGCTCCCAGCCCCAGACAGTTGAGATATCGATATATATATATATGTATATCTCATTATTCCCGGAATATCACAATTACAAGTCCATGAGATATCAGCACCTCTGAGGCCTCCGGCATCACGCCCCTGTGAGGCTGAGAAGTCTTCTCCGGGTTCAAGTATCCCATGGAAACCTTTACCCCAAAGCTCGATACATATTTATAAAACAAATAATATGCATATTTTATCATTGATAATGAAAACGTATTCCAAAACAACAGATTGTGTAAAAAAGGAAAAAAGAAAAATAAATCCCTTAGGAAGTGCTTCAGAGCTAATGACATACGAAAGATACATACATGTAACTAGATCCTGCTGCAAATGGTGTTTTTTAATATCATCTGCGATACTACAATAAATCCGCCAAACGTTGAGACCGACAAGCACGCTGTCACTGCTGCATTACAAATCAAGTATCGCCACGGGTGGTTGGCTACCTGGCCCCCTTTCCTATTCAACAGCCAAAATGTGATCACTCCAACAAATGCATTTCCGATCTGTCCGATAACAATCCAGGACATGATCCAAGATCTCTGACTTATGGTACTGTCCTCTTTGTGGTAGCCTGTCAATAGTTCGAGGATAATGTATGGTCCGGCGAGGATGACTGATGTAAATAACGCCACCGCCCAAATCAAAAAGGGGTAAATCTATTCCCAGTTTTAAATTTTAGCTCGTTCTATTATCATTGATGTTGAGTCAATATGATAGGGAACGCTTACGACAGTCCGCCAATTCGCACCCCCCGCCTCCTCGCCTTCCACTTGTCGTTCTGCTCCCCTCCGCCCCCTAAAGTCTCCATAGGCTATGCCGACCGCCCCGGTAACCTTCCCCTCGACTTCCTCCATATCCTCTGGTGTCCACCATCCTTGCGGCCACTCAGCTTCACCGCCGGTCCCTGATATTTCACTCTGGCCCTGAGCTATCTTCCCGGTCTTCGACGATTCTCCTGTCCGTCTAGTTTCTCCATTTTTATATTTCCCTGGGGGCTTTAGCCCTCCATATTTAACAATATATATCGCGGGATAGCGTGGTGCGGTGAGACTCGCCAGTAAATTGGTTAATGACATAAGAATGTACGGGATTACAGCCAGTGAATAAGCTGCATATCCATAACCAACAATCTGACGCTTACTTCCCATATAAAGCTCAAAGGATGCGTAGACTATTTGGAACATAGCGGCACATGTCTTGACAAAGCTATAGTTGGAGGAAAGCGTTGAAGGTTCCATGCTCCCGGGTGGTGGCTTCACCTTCTCCCCGGCCCACCACCTCTTGACTTTCTCCCACTCTGTGGGAATTGGGGAATGATTTGCCAGCGGGTGGACTTCAAACCAATGTGGGACGTATATCAGAGAGTAATCGGCGTGAGACGGGGTATTGTAGTCTACTGCATCGGCCTCCGGATTAGGCTTACGTTCCCTATCCTTGTTATGAGTAGCTAGGTATTTCTGTCCAGGAACTTTGATGTCGGTCGGGTACTGGCCGTGTACCTGTGTGTACAGAGGTATAACGGGACGATATGCTCTCGGATAAACAGCGTACTCCTCCCAGTTCACCAACGGAGCTCCACTGGGTACTACCTCCTGGCCCGATATTGCCGGCTGAATCTTGTCTTCTAGTGCTCCCGGAGAATCTGTTTCAGAATCATCTTTCTCAGAATCTAGACGGCGTGTGGCCGACGTCGATGCAGACCTAGTCTGCCCGTGAGCAGGACTCGTACTACTGTCGGGACCCTTCCGGGTACACGGATCTGATGGTACTAGCATACAAAGTGCTTCTGACCTCAAGGCCACACGAAGGTGCGTTGTTTCTAGAACTGCCATACGATAAAGGACCTTGAAGGACGCATCAAACCCCACCGCAGGCATCAAAATAGAAGAAAAGGTATTGAAAACAGTGATGATTATACTGCTTCCTGGCGGAGTAATGACGGTGACTGCATGGAGTGCGAAATTAAGGATCATGAACCTGACGACATCTTTCCAATCCGCTTGTCGACAAAAGGGTGTTCCTCGCTCATATGTCTGCTCGGTACAGTTCATGATGCCACGATATATATACTGTGCTATCGCTATCTGTAGTTCTGTACGCGGCGGTACGCGGTGTATGATAGTACAGGGTGGTATTCCCACTATGCTAGCTAGGCGTGCGCAGCTGAATATTCTTGCGATGGATATATATAGGGAATCGTAAATTAAAGATGAGAGAAGATGTGAAAATGATAGCACCTGTAAATGTGTAAAAATGAGCTTATTCGCTTTGGCTGCGGTATCTATTGCCGGGGGGTGAGGGAAACATCAGGGTAGCTCACTGATGTTCAATACAGATATATATATATTTCAACCGCACTAGTAGATGTCCCAATAGCCTCGACACCACATGTAGTCCCGCGACTATTCCTAGATATTCCCCCAGCTATGGGTCCACCACATACTGCAGCTGGAAACCTTTGTAAATCGAAATATTCCATCTCAAGCCAAATGACTTAATTTGCCAGTGACTTGGAATTAACACCTGGGCTCTAGCTAGCTCTAGGACTATGCCCCACAGCCTATCGTCATCATTCATTCCTATATCCGATCATGCACCATATTGCAATTCTATCGATTACTCTACGTACGTAGACGACTGTCCATTAATTGAAGACTCTAGGCCCGAGATGATAATCAATCGAAATCGTGTAACTTTGAACTGAGCGAAACATGCACGTTGAGTCGTGTATTTACAATGTAGAGTTGTAAAACATATGTGTATCTCCGACAGTTGTGCGCAGAAAAACATAAACTTGCGCATATGGATCCGGATCTTTGACATGTAAGCGAGGTGATGCGCGCATGCATGCTGCCTATCATTATATTATGGTATATGCTGAAGCCACGTTCCGTCCTATAAGTGCGTATGGATGTCTAGAGCATCTTACTTTACAATTTGCAGGATGATGCTAGAGTCGCGCGCCCCGAGGAGCCAGTACGAGGTCAATGGGCTTCTATTACCTACAGGCAGCATAAGATCCCACTAGAGTATCGACAATATAATCGATGTATGGGCATATGTCCCTACTATCATGCGGGGACATCCACGACTGGCTCGTAAATTCTCGCCACTAGCTCGAATAGCATGCCAACCATTATGCATTATTATGTTGATCTAATACAGTTGACTATGTGAGCCCTTTTGTATATCTGATATGTCTTGGTTATTCCAAATTTGCAGCGAAAGAGTTTTGTATTTCAGCTTATCCCCATTGATAATCTCGACATAGCGGCAGGCCCAAGCAACGACTAATAGGCTCCACTGGTTATCATTTGTCCACTGCCCAGTTCGTAACTGCCAATCGGCCGGTCTAACACTCCACGTCTGACCTTAGCACGAACAGGGATACTTGTCCCGTCAAACTTGCACATTTAGACACATCAAACAACTGCCTTTCCATTTTTTTATACCAGATAATATTGTAAAATCTGGTTTCGAAGTGAGATTTTCTTACTACTCATATATCCAGTGGCTGGCAACCAAATTAGTGAACCAAGAAGGAAGTAATGCGTTCAAAACAGTTCCTACTGATTGTTTAGATCTAGAAGCAGGAGCTTTTTACCTCACATGTTTGGGAGTTATAGTAAAGCGTAGTAATTTTGAAGAAATAGGTATACCTGAGCGGGGATTTCACGGCTGGCCGAGATAGTGAAGACCGAGAAGATTTATCCCTAGAATTCTAGCACTCCCTGTATTTACCTAACTCAAACTTGGAAATCGCGGGATATTTGCGAACTAAAATATATACGTGAAGTAGCTACATGTATGTATGCAGTAGTGGGATTAGAGAATAAGGTGTTCAATCGTGTAGTTACATGTAGTCAAGAGCCAGTCAGACTGAGACGTGGTCGGATCGGGAAAGGATAGAAGTGAAGGGACTTGGCAGTTGCATCGTGTCAGGATTAGTTAGGATGGATAAGAGAGGAAGGTCTCTCCTCCTCTCGGAGAATCATCATCAATAGAAGTACTATCATCAGTCATTCGAGATCGTATCACTTCAATGTAGGTACATGTAGGCAACTCTAAATATGTGTCCGGCTGCACAATAATTACTCCGAGTCAGCCCCGTCGTGTTGGGTGCGCCTCGCAAACTGTAACGATCATAAGAAAAGAAAATGCTATCGAAAAAAATAATATACAATGTGAGAACTCGGGTTACCTAATTAGGCATCCTACATTAAGCTTTCGACAGTATTGCCCTAGGGCTGCTCATCATTGGAGCATTGTTATAGATCTGAATATTCCATTAGCCTATTGCGTCTCTTAAGCTTTCAATTGGCTTTCTGGGTCCCCGAATTCCCAGAAACCTACTGACTAAAAAGTTGACCTCTCTCCTCGAGGAGACAAACATACATAGCTAATAGACGTTACGAATAAACATCTTATTCCTATCGATCATAGGTATGATGAGACTTTTGGACATTAATCTCATGCGCTGACGTTGCACTTTGCCCATCTAAGCAATAATTGACTTGACCTTCTCTGCGCAAAACTTAAGATCACATGACTACCAGTGCGCGCTAATTTTTCAGAGTGGCCGTAGGGTTTAATATAAAGCACCGGGCAGGAGATAAGGGGCACATGAGGGAGGGAGAATCACGGGGAATCCGATACTCGCGTCTGCATCGAGTCTCATCTTTTTCTGCGCATTAAATTGAAGAACGAGTCGCTAGAATGAAAACACATGTTTGTTGAAGATCTGTAAGGCTAATTGCACTTGTGTTGTGTTGGCTGCATTCACGTCGGAGACGCCTCGTGCGGTCAACGAATCGTGATCTTACCCGAGCCAACTCTGTATTATTTGCTTTTTCATCCCGGTGGATGATGATCCTGCTTCGTCCACATGCATCGTACATACAACATAACTAGGTACGCTACGGTGTAGTATCGAGGAGTGTTACGGGATCGAGCATACATGTATACATGCATGGAAGGTAGGGATTCAGGACACTCAGGACGTCCCGGATCACCGGTACATAGAGTACATGTTCGGGTGTGCACGTTAAATACCGAGACGCCTTGAAGGAATATTGGTCGATTTTGTACGGGAACCGCCCATGGCAACCAAAAGCAGCCAATAAATTTTGGCCTGGGCCTCAAAATTTATATGGAAGAAAAAAATACCGAGACATTTTATCTATCTTCACTTAAAAATTCAAATATCTTCCTAAAAATACAAAAGAAATAACCACTGAATAGCCCTTGCTCATAGGTTTACCTAAGTACTAATTCAAAGTTATCAAAGTTTTAGTAAAGTTCGAAAAGAAGAAGAGTAGATGCAAAAGCTGCGCGAGACACACTGTCCAAATACCTGCTTGGCTGCCAAGTGTCATTTTAATTATATCAGCCCAATCAGGTTCCTCTCCAAACCCTCACTTTTCGAATGCAACACATGGAGATTCGGTTTTCGTGATCTATTACTAATCCTAATGATGGAAACCTGTCTCGTACCCAGCTAGGAGCCAATTATTTGGCACTAACTAGAAGGCTGGGTACGAAAGTCTCTAAGGGCTATGGATCCGTCACCCCACGCACCCATAATCTGGTTTCTGCTCTCCACATACCAGTGTTCAAGGGAGACTGTACGCGAAATCCCCGTATCAAATCACTTCACTGGAATTCAGTTCATGTCAGGTTACACCCCTTTTCTTTTTCATATCTGCGATTTCAATTACCTCCTATCCCTTAGGCGGTCAGGCCGGATCGCAATGTGTTACTGAACCTGATATATACAGCTACTCAGCTAAAGTATTCGTGATTTAGTTTTAATGTCAGTGCGCAGTGTGGCGCACCCGTGATATTGATGTTATTAATATAGAGATTCAAAACAACGAAAAATATATAATATAGTTCGTGGCTATATAAAAGAACATCATAGGTCATTGATCTTATTCTTCATTGATTCCGGGCCCCATCGGTCACTAGGGAAATTTTCTCTTAGGAGGGTTTTAATGGTCCGCCACGGTTACATATAGAGAAATGTCTCACTCCGAAATCGGAATCACGAACACTTTTGCGGGGTGGTTGTATATTGTTAATGTGCTCTGTTGAACTCTGTTACTGTTCATTCTATCATCGTGGCGATAGAGCTCTCTAGCGTATGGCAATAAACTCGAGGAGACAGTGAACACTGAGAGTGTTTATCAGAGCACATTAACCATATCAGGTTCGGTAACACATTGCGATCCGGCCTGACCGCCTAAGGGATACCACCCCCACAAGGCTATTATAAGCCCAATCATGCGAAATCACTCGCCAGTTCATCATGAGATAGCACTCGTAGGTCATGTGATCTGTCAGCTACTTATGTCAAGCCACCACACCATCCTTGCTACCCTCCCCCCATCCCACATCTATTTGCCTCGCTGCATTCTCCCATGTGCGCTTTATTCCAATAAATGTGGCCCAACACTCATAGTCAATCCAACGTAACAATACGAGATCTCAGCTAAATCGAGGAAATTGATCCTTTAAGAGTACTGATGAGGACTATTGTTTGTAGTTGAGGGCTTAAATTCACTTACCCCCGTCCTTCTACCTAGCTAGCTAGGGCTGAATGATGAAGCTATGAGCTGGTATCTGTCAACATCACAGTTCAAGGCACCTCTGCGAGGCTAGGGCAAATGCGCAAGGACTAAATCAACAGATTTGAAGAATTAAAAGAAAGAGAATGCAACAAAAGAAAAAAAGTAGACCGAAAATTAAATTTGTTTAGCTGTCGATCAGTGGCGACTAAGTAGGATAGTGGAAGGATTGAAAAAATTACGGTTGGTCTGGGAACGGAAACAGATTGTATCCCGAGATCTAGACCGGTTTACATTCGTTTTCTACGGCCTTAGCTGCGGGCCCTGAAAAGGTTTCTCGGTCTTAACTAGTGGCGGATTTTGTTTCTTGAGACACATGTCGGCCTACCGCTAATTAGCCCATCCTATGGCTACGTTATACCTGTGTGTCAGTTGCATGAGTAATAAGTATATAACCACTTCTTCTTCATGACTTGGTTATTGGATAACGATTTTCCCACCATATATGGGCTATATACAGCCACTCAGCAAAAGTGTTCGTGATTTAGTTTTAATGTCAGTGCGCAGTGTGGCGCACCCGTGATGTTGATGTTATTAATGTAAAGATTCAAAACAAAAAAAAATATATAATATAGTTCGTGGCTATATATAAAAGGAGATAGGTCATTGATCTTATTCTTAATTGATTCCGGGCTCCATTGGTCACTGGGAAAGTTTTCTCTTGGGGTTTTTAATGGTCCGCCACGGTTACATATGTATAGAGAAATGTCTCACTCCGAAATCGGAATCACGAACACTTTTGCAGAGTGGCTGTATATACAAGCGGAGTGCGGCCTCCGGCCGCCCAAATGTAGTGAGGAAATGAAGGTGCGGGGGTACTGCGATAGTAATTTCTTAGATTATTACTATCATTCTGGATTGTTAGGTCATCTAAACATACAGGCACGCACTAAACCTCATCTCCATCTCTCCTTATAGGTAATCTGTGATGCATTAGCTCTAGTATGCACTCTAAGTCATTCAATGAGTAGCTTTAGTACATATGTACATGTAGTTCATGATAAAATGCTATCAGGGGAATTCGACCTTGATATATAAAAAATATAGCTGTAGTTCTGTCAGTGTTTGTTCTTTTATATCCATCAATTGCAATAGCTACACGCCTTTTAATATATGCCAGTTCCCTTCCATCTCGGGAGTAGTTCTTTGTCTAATGATATGCAACCAATATTAGAAATAGTACGCAACCAATAGAAAACGTTCCTGGTGACGATGAGGAAGACTATATAGTTTTGATATTTACGTGTTAGGATAGCAGAGGCTGCCATACAATCTTCTAGCCTTGTTCGGCTCATGGGTCTCGTTGAGCTCCGTGTTCGGCAATAGAGGCCAATGAGGGTGTAGTGAGTGTGATAAGACTGGTGATGGTGTGGGTGGAGAGAATCGGTGGTCTTATGAATATAGAATTCTCGGGCGGCCGGGTTTAGACTTACTCACGTGACGCTGGTTGGCAGGTTTTTTTGCGCTGCTCACAGGTCATGTGATCAAGTCAAAACTCGGCCGCGTGAGTTGGTTTTGACCGCTGATCTTCCTTGTGTCTGCTCTCTGCCTTGTTTGTAAGTTAGTCTTGTTGTGGGCTTGTATGCGTTTGCGGACCTTTTCACGGTACCATATATAAGCCATAATATCATTAATCATGAAAGCCTTCCCACTCCGATAGGGGCAGATGTATCTCGTGGAAGGGATCGATAGCTGTTTAGCGCTTGGGGTGAAAGGATTGCTTTACATAATGATTGGGCTGTTTTTCAAGCGACGCTCCCTTTGTGGTGCCGGGATATATATGGGGGCTGCAGGCTTCTTGATCACCGTGCAGCTTTTATTGATCCTACCACTGGGGGCTGTATGCGGAATCTTTAGTCTAATTCCCAATTTATTGGTACCGCGTACCGGGTGCTCAACTTTGGGCTTACAAAAAGCAGAGCGTTTGGACGCGATTGGCTCTACCTTGAGGCGAGCGGGAGGGGGTTGTTAAGTTGCGAGTTGGCATCCTATAAGCCCAGGTTGGCTCTGCTTTAATTTTACGTATGAGAAGGTACCGGTTATCACGTTTCGGAGTACATGCGATTCATGCCGCATATTGAAGTACCGTAGGGTTTGCAGGCTGTATACCGGTTTTTGCCTTTCAGTTGATGACAAATCTTGAATTAAATTGGGGACAATGTTATAATCCAAGCGAAAATGTCTAAGGATAGAAAGTTCAAATGGTCGAGTTACAATATATGTACATAAGTACACAGCAACGTGGTGTGGGCTGCACATGTGTTCGCGTGACACCGAGTGCTTGCTTGTGATCACCTACATGCAGAGCAAATATGCATATATAACCGAGTGCTGTAATCAGTCACTTAAGAGCAAGGGACAGCATCGGTTGAAGAGGATGATACATTCAGACCCTTTGTACCGCAGGGAGAATAGATATATCATTGTACTGTTTTGAGTTTGTGCGTGTGATTAAATGTGATACTATAGGGATGAGGCTAGGTATTGCAAGGTTTTGGTGAGAGAATACCACGATATATAGTGTAGAGGGACTTGTCTTGCATGCCTATCGCGTGTGTTGGATCGCACCGGCCTGGTGGTGGAGCTGCTCTAGACTACTGGTCTACCGCCAGCCAGCTTGAGCAATCATCCCATCTCTCCATCAACTAGCTTAGGCACTTGTTGTATCGGTCTAGAGAATAACAACTACATGTACTTAAGCTTATGAAGTACTTGTAATTCTAGCTAGTGATTCCCAGATAAAAGACCTCTCCTTCCCAAGAAACGAGCCTTTTCCACATTTCCTGGGTTTTATTCACAGATAAATGGGTCTCACCTCTGATTGATTTTCTGCGCATGTGTTGAATTCTCGACGAAGTATATACGTACTTGTTTGTCCCTTTTTCTCACCCGCGCAGCCGGTACCCCCAACCACACAAACACGCACCATCCTCGTGAGTCGCCTCGATAGGTGTACTCTAGTCTACCCCTGTCTCCGTAGACGAAACTCTGCACTCCTTGATAGAGCCCCCGTGGCTGTGGCTAGTATTATATATCTGATAACTGTTTGATGTGATTCAATTGATCAATTCCTAGGCAATCCTTCTCTTGGAATCTTCGACAGACAAGGTGTACGTCTACGGGCATGCTTTGAATTATCAGGTCTTTGCCCCTCCCCCAGGCGATGGGTGTATGTAGCCTTTTTTGCAGTTTTTGCAGTTTTTTCTTCGACGGTGATTGGGATTTCTAGGCATGTACTCAAACCTCCATGCGACGCTACGCATCGATCATGCATCCAATGGCTGGGAAAATTAAGCAATCCCTGATACATTCATGAATCAAATTATAAACCTCCCGTCAACCGGCTCAGACGCTACTTTCAACATAAATATAGGACGTATACATGCATGCCACTTCTCCATCTACCTAACCACGTCATTCCGTTTCTGAGAGCTCTGAACCGTTACCATCGTTCTGCGAACTGTCATCGGCTCCTTTATAAACGTGCCTGTTTCATCTAGATCCCTTCTCTGTACTGGCGGGAACAATACCGTCTGAACCGTAAAATGGTGAGAATGTTTTCCGGTCAACTCCTCATCCTCATCAACCGTGTCGGTCGTGTCTTCCATGATACTAGCCACGTATTTTGACCCTGGTTGGATTTGCGGCAGTAAGAATTCCGACACTTGTCGCGAGGTTTCGAATCCGAGATTGGCCGCCTTCTCCAGGATTGAGAACAACGCCTGTCCGCATTTATCTTCACACCCTGCTTTCACAAGGCTACTAAATAAGCGGTAAACGCGACCTGTCCGATAGAAAATTTGGGCGCGCAACTCTCGCTCGAACTTGGGATTGCTCATGAGCAAGTTTATCATCTGAGCTTTCAACTCTTGTCTTTCACGGTCTAAATGCGCACCTCGCACCGGCGATTAGGTATTACTTTCGCTTAATTCCTGATCTATAATGCACTATCGATCGAGCGTTCACATACCCGTTCCCCCAAAATCTTCTAGCATAATAGGCGGGCGCCTTTCGCCAAGAATTCTAAATACCAACTGCCAGCGAAAAGCCCATTCGACTACCAACTCGGTGATCGATGCTTCGATATCTTTCATCACAACCGTTCTATCCGGCACCGGGTAGTAATCACTGATGGTAGCTGCCATTGCGGCTTGCAGTCTCTGCGGAAGGCTTCTGTGGTTTACCTCTGGTCCGTCGTCGAAATATCTGAAGGCCCATTGACGGATAGCTCCAGCCAAGCCTGAGAACTCTCCGTCGAAATAGGCATCGTCTCTTGTGACTGTATTGACGCTGGGTGTGGATCTTGATATCGCTTCGGTTAGTTCGGCGATGTTCTGCTGCTTTACAGCCAATGTTTCTTCAAGCTTCTTCATATGGAGATCCTGCTCATCCATCATCCTTCCGAGGGTGGTGATACGGCGATCCTGTCCCGCGATAACCTCATTGAGATTATCTACCTCAAGCGTCATCTCCTTGTTTTTCTGTGAAAGAGATTCAATCTCAATATCCTTTCTTTCGAGTACGGACTTTGCCGAAGCATTTCTCTTCTCAAGTTTTGCGTTCTTCTCCTTGTATTGCTCTGCACGTCTCTTATAAAAGTCCAGTGTGGTCTATATTTCCTGTCAACGGACGTGATGACTGCAATATTTTGGAAGAATTACATACTGGACGCTCAGAGGGCCGAGGTTCCATGATCTCGGCATCAGATTCCACCTCGGGAGGTTCAGTGCGGTCTAAAGGATGGCTATTTCGGCGGTCTGTTTCACTGCTGTACGTGTGGGGAGTCCCGTCTCCCGCTTCTTTGGAGACAGCGATAATTCCCTTGAACCTATCGTAAAGCATCGGTTTTGAACGATATAAGGCCTCAAATTTAAAAATACGTACAAAGTGTCGTTCAGTGCTTCTTTCTGATATGGAGGGCGTTAACCGAGCGAAAGTATGTAGTAGGATTCAGAAGTTGTGTCTGCGAGATATGGCTGCCTGATATCACTCCAGCCCTGTCAACCACATGAGCTGGTTCTCTAAAGTGCCTACACACATAGAGTACACGTACACCGAGAGAGAGAATTATTGTAGAAACAGGGGTCCAAAAACAGGGTTTAAGTGGCTGACTCGGCCAATAGGACTCTTCCCATACTACGTCTGATAATTTCTGCAAATGAATATTTTGGGCAGACTACGCGGCTGTGTGATTGACAGCGCCAAATCTATCCACATGCATAATTATAACCGCGATGAATTAAGCCCCGCGGCCCCGACCCCTATATAGCTCCCTCCACCCACACACCTAGGTATGTACAGTAGACGCCCATATACCGCTCTTCCCTTGGCGCATACTAGCAGGTTTATAACCTACTCTAGAGTATATTAAAATCAATTTGATTTCCTCTATCTGTCGACCATTAATACAATATATTAATAGTTGACTCCAAAAACGAAAAACCTATTTTCCATACCGCTTTTTAGCCAATCCTAATAGGAATTCAAGTGAGGGGTTGTTCGAGTGGCTATAAGCACTACATTACTCTATAAATGTTACATACATACATGTATGTGCATAGAGGCTGCTGCCTAGCACAAAGACCAGATCCTGATTACAATTACAATTAAGGCATCCAATGCCCACCCTCCCCACCGAAATAACGAATGATGTGCGGTAACTTGAGTAGGCGCGTAGAGACAATCCATTGAGATATAAAGACATCAAGCAATATATATATTAGTACTGCTCTTCACCTTCCTTTTCTCAAATTATCTCTAAGAAACTATATATACGAACTTCAAAACGCAACAAAACTGCAGCATTTAATTACGAGCAGAGTCTTGACTAACTACTAGTTACAGCCTTCTACCCCTCTGGCAGCTCGACGATACACTAGCACTTGCAGAACATACGCTCTCCGAATCCCCCCGTCAGCTGATAATCGATAGAAAATGGCCTCTCATTGCCTCAAAGTGGGGATAGACTTTGGAACGACGTTCTCTGGGGTCGCATATGTAGGCTGCCAAGCAATGCGCAACTTCTTAAACTCGCTAATGACTTCTTTAGATTGATACTGCGAAACCAAACGATGTTATCTCAATAATGAATTGGCCCGGTGTAAATGAACCTCTCATCTGCAGCTGATCATCATCGTTGTGACCACGTCCTGTGATCCGAAAATGATCTTGCAATTGTGCTAAATTAACAGTTCACTCTTCACACAATAGGAGCCGAGGAATTTCGAGAAAGTACCCAGTGAAATTTCATATAATTCTGCCGGAGAAGTACACAAGTGGGGCTACGAGATCAACGAAAAGGATGAGAAACTGGCTTGGTTCAAGCTTCTTCTGGACCCAACCCAGTATGCCAGCAAAAACTCGCCAGCTCTTTCCAGAACGCTTGCCCTGCTTCCAGGTGGCCCACCATCGAAAAAGCCAGTCCATGTGGTTTCGGATTACCTTTCGTGCCTAAGAAAGCATACGCTTGCAACCCTAGAACGATCTTACGGAAAGGTTTTCATGAGCGCAATACCGATAAAATACACATTAACAGTTCCTGCGGTATGCGAATAGGAGAACCCCTGGTATTGTCATTTTGGCATCACTGATTTATTCTCTTGATAGATGTGGAGCGATACTGCGAAGGCGCTGACTCTGGACGCCGCTGTTGCCGCTGGCTTGGGGAGCAGGGATGAGATTGAGTTGATGTCTGAGCCGGACGCTGCTGCAGCATGGACCATCCTGAAGGATATCCAGTCTACGCATCTCAAGGTCAGGCTTGGGTACCCTTCCCATGAAATTACCTATGCTAAGACGTGAAACAGCGAGGCGACGTCTTTGTTGTGGTTGATTGCGGCGGTGGGACCGTTGTAAGTTATTCTCTAGATTTATATTTTTTCCCTATATCGTCAAACACAGTCTGCAATTGTTGTCTCTTATTTTTTTCGACCACAATCCATTTCCCATATAGCTAAGTACATATCACATACCATGCCACGAACTACCGTGCGGTGATAGGACAAAGTCTCTCCGCATTATATTAACTAACATACGTAGGACCTAATATCATACGAGATAGTGTCACTCAGCCCAAGTATCTCGGTGAAAGAGTGTGCCAGTGGTAAAGGAGAACTATGCGGTTCCACATTTCTCAACCAAAGATTTGAGAACTTGGTGATATCACGTGCGGGGAAACAGTAACTATAGCCACCCACCTCATGAGAGACAGATATCCATGCTAACTCGGATCAGAAACTTTGATAAGATGAAGACTAGGTCACTAAATAGGATGCTGAAGGAGTTTGACCAATCCCTAAAACGAAACTTTACAAATGCGGAAGACGATGATGAATTCGTTTGCACTGCGGGTGGATTACCTGATAAGCCCAAAGCAGGGATCAAACGTGGCGAGTTTACTTTTACAAGGAAGGATATGCTTGGTATATTTGATCCTATCATTGATCGAATAGTTCCGCTTGTCCAAAACCAAATCGATTTGGTTGAAGCTCAGCATTCGGGACTAAGGTCGCCAGTTTCGGTACGTTTGTTGTCCTACTGGTGGTGAGGTGTGCACTCCCGAATCGTTCCTTCTCTGATGCACAGCTTATAGGCTATCCTCTTGGTCGGGGGCTTTGGCTCTTCGCGATATCTCTATCAGCGCTTGCAGAACGAATTGAAGACGGGGAAAGGAAGTTACACATCGTCACCGGAGATTCTTCACCCTGTACACGCGTAATATATATACATACCTATCGAATGATGGAGCCTTGGATTAGAAAGCTGACATCTAAATATAGTTGGAGTGCTGTTGCGCGCGGTGCTGCGCACGGCATTCACATCAGCAGTCGAAAGGCACGAAGACATTACGGCACGCTAGTCCACGCCGTATTCGTCCATGGCAAACACCCAATAGAAAATCTGGAGATATGTGAATTCACCGGTAGGCGGTTGTGCACGAACGTCATGAACTGGTTTATCAACTATGTACGGATATCCGAAATGGGGAAAAGAAAACTAGCGTCGAACATCTACTGATACAAGATGAATTAGGGCGACCAAGTGTCGGAAAACGCCCCAATATCAATCACCTACTACAGAGAGGTACCACTGAATGCTAGCTTGATATTCCATGATTACCTCTATGAATATACGGGAACAAGCGCGCCAGAATACTCGAATCAACCTCACAATAGAAGTAAGTTATATCTAGTGGTCCCTTTTACCCATCGAAGTAACTGCTTACCGCTATCAGCACTTCGAAAACTCTGCGAAGTCACTTCTGACCTCAGCAATGTCTCAAAGAGTTGTTTTGAACTCAGAGAAAACATATATGGAGATCCCTACTACGTAGTTACGTTCAACTTGGTGATCACAATAAAGTCAGCTACTATCGTTTTCCATTTGGAGCGCGACGGTGTGAAGTATGGAACTGCCAAAGCAACTTATATACACGACTTCAATGCCATGAAAGAGCCTGAGGCAGATTTGGGGGCTACTATCGGGGAATGAGAAAGGAACCTTGGAATCACTACGAAATATGTATATTTCCTCAAAGATTGATGGCCTTTTAAAAGAATTAATTGTGAAATTTGTATTTAATCGGCTACTTCCAGTTGTGGGCGCGCGTCAGAGCTCAGACGCGAGCTCATATCTATAAACACGGCCAATATAATATAAACGTAGCTGATGTCTGATGTGGTATCGTCAACCCCTTCATCTTGGGATTCTATGAGCGGAATTTTTACAAGCAAATGGCCATACTGCAACTACTTCAAAAGATCCGAATCTTTATCCGCTTTTTGTTCTAGATGAAAATTGTTCTGTGCGTGCAATGCCCCGCCGGTAGGAGCGTCTGCAAAAATTCCAAGAATCAACCACCTCCACCCTCCACCCCCCTCCCCAATTCATTCAATAACCTTTTCTCCCTCAAGTCCCGTATCCTATATTCTCAACCTTCGATCTCGACCCATTTTGGATATGTAGGCTGGCGTGATGCATAAGTTTATTGAACGTGAACCCAGGTGCATGGTGTCAACATGTATATATTAGAACTAGCTCAAATTTCGAATCATGCAATTAAGCAACTACATGTAGGTTGTCTCAATCATATTACCAAACCTCATAGTGATTGAGTTTTAGGTCTATAAGGCAGGACAATCGATTCCGTTTACGACATCTCCTTTCTCATACATCATAACACTAAACAACAATGCATGTTATATATATATTTACCCAATTCGATAACCCGTAATAAGACTAAATCGACCCAAGCCAGCCCTCACTTATAAGGGTTTTAACCTCAACTCATCTTATCTTCTTTGCTCCCGTCCTTCGTAGCCATAACTCAACCAACTGAAGTATGTTTACTTCTCAGAGATTCCACCTAGAGTCGGTGAATACGGAAACCACAGATTAAATCTAATTGCATCACTCGACTCCATCATAGAATATCACTCAAGACTCAAAGAATCATTCTCCGTCACTCGTATAGTTATTCCTGCATCATACCATATTTGGTTAGTGTAGCAAAGGTCAGATCCCAGGTAACGAACCTATCGAGGCATTTCATCCCATAGACCAGACCTGATCCCTATCTGTGTGTTTTAAAACGCGTCAGGGACTGCTATAGCATACTTTATGAAAATCGCCTCCGAGAGGTTTGATTTATATTGTTCTCCATGGCACGAGAGGTCTTGAAGTCTTACTTTCAACAGATCGGTTAAACGTAATAGATTCTTCTTGACGCCGGCTTAAAACCTCCTAGTAAAGATATACCAGTAAGCTATCGTAGGTGTTGGTAACAAAATTAATTGCTCAGTCCTCCCCCGAGCTTCTACCAAATGACTCCCGGGAAACACCGTAAATTTCAAGTATCCTTTCAGCAACTAGGCCAGGAAGCAGGTAACATGAACAGCAGGATCATGCACGGAAGACACAAAGATACTTTTGTCAGAACCTTTTGTTGGAGTTTTGGCTTACAGCCGCTCACCCGGATGCCTGTCTCGGGAGTACAGGCACGAGAAAATATGAGACCAGTACTCTCATTCCGCAAAACGAGCCGGGACTAAGCCTTATCCTTCATTGCCTCGAGCCATGTGGTGGAGAACTACCCCTAACAAGCCTGTAAAAGCTTTGATTATGACTTGTAAACAGGAGAATGGAAGAATTTCGTTTTACATGAATATGCATATATCTCCATCTGGTATTCAAGAGATCTGTATAAATGTCATCAACAGCAACAAAGATCAACCCTGATATTCGCCAGATATCTTGTAGTTAGGGTTAGGGTTATTCTTAGTTGGCATTATTCACCCTACAAACGAGGGATGCCCCTTCTCCGGAGGCACGTTTGTCGTTCTATTATCTCTCCAGAACTGTTTTTTTGCAGAGGATACGGTAGCGCAGGCGCAAGTCGGCTGGAGCCTCTATATCCCTTAGGCGGTCAGTCCAAATCGAAATCGTGACCGAACCAGATATGGCTGGGTGTGCTCAGTTGAACGCAATTACTGTTCATTCTCTCCCCATCTCTAGTGGAACAGGTGGAGCTTTCTAGCGTGTGAGAAGAAACTCGGGATATAATAAACAGGAACTACGTTTATCAGAGCATAGCTACCATATAATCTGGTTCGGTCACGAGTTTGGTTTGGACTGACCGCCTATCAAGGGATACGTAGAATACAGCGTTTTATAGTGAGTCGTGTTCTCAGGACTATGTGGTGTTTTGTTTCTAAGGTGGCAGTTGGCTATTTATTCAATATCTCCTACGGACAATGTACAAACTACATACTGTGTGTTTTGTTCAATATCCCACAATATATATATATACATATAAGGAGAAGCCAAGAAAGGTTCTTATAATAGAGCGTGATAGCTACTCTGAAGAGCAAAGACTTTGTACGCCCTCAGCATACCAAAACACAGCTAGTACTAATTCCGGGCAGCTTGTTTAAAATCCCCGCAAAATTGCAATTATTTTACCACAACAGAGTTTAACACGTTCAAACCACGTATGGCGCCCGGAGTTTAAAACTTACACCTCGTTTCAAATCCCTAAGGCTTTTCACCACAACACAAAGAGTTAAAACAAAAACTATATTCTCATGAAGACGAACTATGCCTCGGTAAATATAGCTTTGTTCCTCTGAAAATATGTGTTACTGTTGAGGAGGAGGTTAGTTTATCGATCTATTGTCGCCAAGACCATTTCACTTCAGGTGTTGGGATTAGATGATGGGCTCCATACTTCATCCGCAGCTGGGTTCACACCTCCAGCCTTGGCCCTTGGCGTCCCTCCACCTCCCCACCCACCCGGCCCGGGTCACTGTGACCATGTCCCAACATGACCCCAGCGCACTACACGTGCCTTCTCGTTACCGGATGCTTGTGGGTGCGTCCTCGGCGTAGAGTACACTGGGGTGGGAGTACAGTATGGCAGACCTTGCTGCATATCTGGGAAGGCTGCAGTGGATGGGGAAGTTTAGGGTGGGGTTGGATGCTGTCGGTGGATGTGGGTAGGCTACATAACCTGCCTGGATACTAGTCAGACGTCGTTACATTGATCTTTGCTGTGGTTGTTGAAGATACGTGCGTGTTCCTCCAAAGCTAGCATATACACATGTTACATAGCTAGCGAGATGTCTACAGGAAGCTCATGATCTTGGGGACAGCGTCGACAGTTGATATCCTACAACACGACTACAGTGTGGCTATCAGAGCTGGGAGACCGCTACACGGACTAAGTATAATCCTCCATCCCCTTCTACATGCACAAGAAGCGCCAACATGCGAAAATAGAGTAGAGTCTTAACCCCCTATATACGTGCTATATAAGGCAACTATTTGATTGCCACCATGAATATCCCTTTCTATCAACGGGAAACAAAAGGCCAGGCACGCCGCACTCCTGGTATATATATAACATCACTAGCTAGACCTGGAATACCTACCTCGCTGCCTGCCTAGCTAGATGTGACGGCTCGCGATCGATGGTATATTGCTGTAAATATCGACACGCGAAATTAAACCCAAAGTCGATGTCCATCTATCTATGCAAGTAACCATCAAAGAGGGGGGGAAAGAACTATATATAGCAGACCGCAAAACCAAACCAAAGACCCGGAACACCCACCTGCCTCCCTCGCCAAGTGGTTCACCCCGCGAATCTCAGAGTATCGACAAGTCTCAAATCCCCTCATCCCCATCGACAGCGCAGGCCAGCCATACGGTATATATACGCCGCACTGACACTACTCTAGCAACCATAGCTATATATATAGGCTGCACATCATTAAGCGAAAGTCGAGTGTTTGGGCCATCACCACGTGTGAGTGCGAGGGATTGTCGGTGCCGAGGAGGGTGTCTTCTATTTTTGGTGAGTGTGTGAGTGTGTGTGTGTGTCTTGCATCGACCCGGCTGTCTGGATGGATGGGTGAGTGTCGAGTGGATGGTGCAAGGATGGCGCAAGTGCCAAGACACAGCCTTATCCGGGTGATCAGCCATGACGGACAGTGAAAGAGAAGGGGGGAAAAGAGAAGCACTCAACCAACATGCAATTGTTGTTCATCCCTATCTTTACCCGAGCGAGCACGTTCTTCTCTGCGGGGGGAAAGACGTGATGGATGGGATGGGATGTCTCGCGTGGCTTGAGCCTCTCTTGTAGATTCTATCGATATCGTGGGTTGCTGTTGCTCTCTCGCGTATCTATTTTTACCACGGGCGCTTGTCCAGCCAGCCAGCCAGCCAGCCAGCCAGCAACCCGACCGGGCTCACAAAAGACACGCCGGGGGGGATGATAATAGCAACAGACAGTTCTCTCTCTCCCCCTCACCACCAGAGCAAGATATTCTTAGAAGCGGTGGTGTATCTATAGAAATTAAAGCTATTGAGCCACGCCCAGAATATCATTTCCTGAGATCGCTACCCCCACCCCCACCCCCCTCTCTTCTTCTGCCTTGTCTATGTAGCAAAGAAGAAGATGTTATTCAAAGCTCTCTTTTGCGAGGTATTGTCGTTGCTGCGTTGTCGCGACTGGCACCACGTAGGTGTCTGTAATGTCTGTTGTATTTACGTCCCCTCTTCCCTTCCTTCCCTCCCGTTCCCTTCCCACACTGCGCTGCGCTGCACACTCACGGTTCTCTGTCCGCAAATAACTCTGAGTGAGGACTGCACTTTCTCTCCCCTCTCGAATATCAAGAATAGTAGCTTCCGAGAGTAGACATCTACTAAAGATATTAATACCTGAATCGCTACTGGCTAGCTGCTCTGCTCTGCTCTGCTCTCCCCTAATGTGTAGACCCTGGCGACGATCGCTTTAGCACCTCATCCCACAGCCGCCCGTGCCCACCCCTGACCTCAAACCCGTGAGCGTGAAGAAGTTACAGACAGGACAGGACAGGACAGGATATGCACAGGCCTAAGGTCACAGCCTGCATCCCGTCCCATCCCATCCCATACCTGCCTGCCTGCCTGCCTGCCTGCATACCCCCACTACTACTCCTATCGTCCTTGCATCAGACAAACAAACCCACCGCAAACAATGGCCCCCCATCACCCCCCCATTCGCCTCTCCGGCCACCACCCCCCCACATGCACCTGTACCGCATTGCCGGTAGGCCCCAAGACCGGTACCGTCTGTGGAACATTCTGTGTCCTTTCCGCTTTGGGCGGTGACGATGGTGGAAGGAGACCGAGCACCAGGCATGGGCAAGGAAGGGCAAGGCAAGGCAGGCAAGGAAGGTGGTGGTGGGAATGCGCGATACATAAAGAGTGCGCCTTCTCTGTCTGTCTCCGGTTCTGTTCTGGCTATTCAGTGTTGTTGTTGCTGTTGTTGTTATATATCATCATTGTGGTGCTTGATTCTTTTGGAGACTTGAGATATACAGACACGGATATACAGATCATACACATACACACACACAGACATATACACAGAGACAAAGAACAGACACAAAGGTGTGTACACATAACCCCATCCTGCCATCTGGCTTCACGGCTAACCTCCCATCACAGACTCTCTCTCCTTCTTCTTCTTCTTCTTCTTCTTCTTCTTCTTCTTCTTCTTCATCATTCTCACCGCATCTATCAATCCACCATCTATCCATCTGAGCATCACGACAATCCCCCCCCTACAATGTCGCTCACAACCCTCCCCACCGAGCTCCTCTACATGCTCACCGACTCCCTCCCGCTGGCGGACATCAGCTCGCTCGCCCGCACCTCCGTCCAGCTCTACCTCACCCTCTCCCCCCTCATCCGCACCACCGCCCTGCACCCCCGCCACTCCTCCGGCGCCCTCTTCTGCGCGGCCGCCAACCAAAACGCCCCCATGGCGCGCTACCTCCTCGCAAACAGCCCCGACCTCACCGTCGCCGGCTCCACCCCCACGGAGGTGATCCCCACGGACCCCGAAGAGCTCCTCACCCACGTGCTGTCCAAGGGCGCAAACCTCATCCTGCACAAGAACGACGGCTCCGGCCACGCCATCCCCGCCCTGCACTGGGCCATCCACAACTCGCGCCGCGCAATGATCCGCCTGCTGCTCGACACCGGCGCCGACCTCGACGCCCGCTACAGCATGCACATCGTGTCCGGCCCCACAGCGCTGCACGAGGCTGCGCGCCGCCGCGACGGCGACACCATGCGGCTGCTGCTCAAGCGCGGGGTCTCGCCCAATGTCCGCGGCCACCGCAGTCTCACCCCTCTGCACATTGCCGCGACCAAGGACCACGTCGCGGGCGCGCGCCTGCTGCTCCAGTACGGCGGTGAAACCGGTATCGTGGACGCCTATGGCTTCACGCCAATGCTAGAGGCAGAGCGACACGGCGCCAAGAACGTTGCCAGGCTGCTTCTGGAGGCGGAGGACCCGCGGTCCTACCAGGACCAGTATGGGCGCAACGTGCTCCACCTGGCGGCCATCTATGGGCATGTGGAGCTTGTGCGCTCGCTGCTGGAGCAGGAGGACATTGATGTCAATTCGCGCGATGGGGCTGGAAGGGCCGCGATCCACTATGCGGCGAGAGAGGGGGATGCAAAGATCGTCGATATGCTGGTCAAGAGGGGGGCGAGCGTCAGTGTGAAGGACTACTCGAGGTCCACGGCGCTGCACTATGCGGCCAGGAGGGACATGATCGCTGTTACCCAGCTGCTGCTCGAGGCCGGCGCCGACGTCGAGGCAAAGGACAAGTACGGGAAGACGCCGCTGCACCTGGCCGCCAGTCAGGGCGCGAGAGTCGTGTCGAACTTCCTGCTGAAGAAGGGCGCAAAGATCATGGAGCAGGATGCCTCTGGCAAGTCTGCCCTGCACATGGTGGGGCAGTACTACCTCAAGCTTGTCTCCGAGAAGACCGCCTGCCGATAAATGGCCAAACACAATGGCATCCGTCGTATATCTTTATCCAAAGGCTTTCTAGGACCTCCTTCCTGGTGCATATCATCATCATCATCAATCACTACAACATATAGCTGGCACAGAATAGCATAATACCTCCCATCAGTATACACCAATCTTGCCATTCCCGGGAAACACCCCCACCAACGGTGGCTTTAGCATCTGACGGTCGCCATCTAGCGGCCAGACCAGCTGCCGGTCGAGCAGACAGACCCCGACGCACTACCCGCTGGACGAAGTGCTCGACAGCGAAGCAAAGTAGGCGTTTCGGGGAAAACTGGCTTTGTACCAAAAACATTTGTGGAGGCTGCGTCTTACAGCCTCAGTGGAGGAACAACACACCTTGTTTTCTTTTCTTTGTGAATACTTTTTTTTTTACAGATCTTTTTTTTTCTTTTTCTTTTCATTTGTTGACATTGCATTACATTTGGAGTTTGGGGTTTTGGGGCTGGGTGGGGGGGAATCAAAAAGGGAATAGATTTGCTTGCAGCTTGTAACGAAGAAACGTACGGGAAAGATTCTTAGAATAGCTTAGATAGGAAAAACAACATTTTACCCATTCTACCCAACAAGAAAACGAGACCTCTCCTGCTCCTGCAGTCAACGCCTCATACGCGACTGAAATGCGCCTTGACTAGACCCCAGCCCCGTCACAGCGGACTATTGGGCTTGGATTTCGTATTCCGGCGGGGCCTTGTGTTGAGAACCCCGTAAGTTAGCTTCCAAAACCTCCACATCTGCTTATTCACTTACCTCCGCTTCGGCGCTCTCAACAACCGGCGATCTATCTATTCAGCTTCCATTGGCCAATTACAGTTTGGAAGTGTCGGTACTCACACCAAATGCCACGTCTTATGCTTATTCCCCCTCGCAAACTTCTTATCCTTACACTGCACCTCCACCCCGCCATGCACCATGCCCTCCCCCCTCTCCAGCAGAAACCCCGTCTTGTGATGTATCAGCTTCCAGTTCGTTGTGCAGCTCGGATCAATCTCGAGCTTCCACGTATGGGCCGAGATATCGTCCTCCGTCAGGTCCCAGTCGTTCGCCGACACCGCCTGCCCGCCGATGAACGGGTACCTGTCGTTATACACGCACCCCAGATACCCGCCGGTGAGCCGGTTGCGCACGCACCACGTGTTCGCCCCCGTGCCGATCTTGTAGTCGGGGAACAGGTAGCTCGTGTGCGCGAGCACCCACTGCTCCGCCCAGCTCTCGCGGAACTGCGGCTGCGGCGGGCTGGCCGGCGGGTTCAGCAGCACGGGCGGGTTCGAGAGGTACGACTGGCTGAGGAGGTCGAGGGTCTCGCAGTTCTGGATGCGGCACCAGCCGGGCGGGAAGGCGACGATGGGGACGATGAACTCCCAGGTCTTGACGGGCGTGGCTTCGGCCTTGCCGATGTTGCAGCGGGGGCCGGACTCGCCGGACTCGGCGCCGGAGCGGGCGATGGAGAGGAGCTCGTTGTTCCAGACGTTGACGATGCGGTAGTATGGCCTGGGCAGCACAAGAAAGGGTTAGCGGTGGTGCCCAGCGTAGATATATTCTTAGGTAGCATAAAAAGCTTGCCTAATTAACTACATATAGCTACATAGCTAGCTAGCTTATTGGCTGGTGGGATAGATAGATAGATAGATAGATAGATAGAACCTACTCGTCCTTGTCGTCCGACACATTCTCAATCCTCCATTTCTGCCATGGCGCACCCTTGTTCTCGTAGGCCACAAGACGCCATTCTCCCTTTGTGGCTTCTATCACATAGTATCAGCAAATATGTATGCACCATCGATCTTCTAAGCTCCCCCGGCCAGGCCTCCCAACGCACCGTGTCTCGGCATGTAATAAGCATTCGCACCCCCCAAATTCGCATCCAAGCACCTCCCCGTAGCGCAGTTCGTGATGGAATATGTCACAGCTTCTCCATCATCATCATCATCATCATCACCACCACCACTGGTCGGGAAGGGCTCGACCCACCAGACCTGCTGCTCCGGATACCTGGATTCGTTCTGCTCGCAGGCTACAACGCTCCACTTCTTGTTCAGAGAGGCGCTGGCGGTGGCGGGGTTGTCGACATGTATGACGCTTGAGGTTTGCTTGTTGCGGATGACATATGAGCCTGTTGGGATTTGGTCCTTCATGGTTGATGTTTGCTCGCTCGCTCTACTGTGCACCTAGCTAGCTAGCTAGCTAGCTTCATGGTTGATTCACTGGGCCCGTAGTGGGCGGTAGTGGGCGGTAGTGCCAAGGCTTGTGTAACGCTGCCGCCTGAAGTCCATACATACGCACACGGGCTGAGACACAAATACTTGTAGTGAGGGCACAAATACTTGTAGTGAGATCCCAGGCGGCTGACCCACAGAATTTTGGTAGTGGGGCACCCTGCTACTACATGTAGGTACACGATCCTGGCAATTGAGAGGTCTCCTAGAATTCTTATAAACACGGTAAACACAGGAGGATGGTATTCATATATACAGTCAAAGTCGGCAAACTAAAGCTCTGAACAAAATCAAACAAACAAAAAAAAAACTCTAATTGACGCACTATGGGTGCTCTAGTGAAGACGATGATGATGATGATGATGATGACTGTATCTCAGTTTACATCCTCTCGACCGGCGACAATCCCAACAGCTTCATCCCGTTATTCAACACTTGCCTGGCACTCTCGTAAAGGGCAAGCCTGGCCGCAGCCTTCTTCGGGTCCTCTCCGATAACCCTGAGAACGTCATAGCTGGAACTCAAAAGATGGGTCATCTTGAACAACCAGGTGACGACTGTGGTGGGCTCCAACGTCTTGAGGGTGTTCTGCAAGACATCTGGGTACTGTGCGAGGCAACGGAGAAGGTTAGTGGCGTGAGTCTCGGTCAGCAGGTATAGGTCGGCGTTCAAGATGTCTTCCTCGGGGATCGCAGCCTTGCGAGAGATCGAGCAGAGACGGGAGTGGGCGTATTGTAGGTATGGACCGGTGTCACCCTCGAAAGAGGTCATACGGTCGAGGTCAAAGTTGTAATTGTTGATCCTAACAATGTCAATGGTAAGAACGGCAACTGATTTGGATATACTACGAACCTCTTTCCAGACATATCTTGGATCATGACACCAGTTCTGCCGACAGTGTCGGCAATGGCATCAGGGTTCTCAACCTGCCTGTACTTTTCCTCGTTCTTCTTCATCACCTCGTGCATTCGATCCTTCGCCTCGGCGAGAATGTCATCCAAAAACACTACGGTTCCCTTCCTGGTGCTCATTCCCAAGACCATTCCAAAGTTGATGTGCTGAACCCTATCCGCCCAGTCAAATCCCAATAAACTCAAGATTTTGAACAACTGCTGCAGATGCAAGTCCTGCTGCGAAGCAACAACATAGATCATCTTGTCAAACTTGTACTGTTCATAACGCTCCATGGCCGCACCGATATCCCTAGTAAGATACAGAGTGGTGCCATCCTTCTTCTGGACGATGGCCTTTCCAAGCTTTTTGCTATGCTTTGTGAGATCTACAATAACAGCCCCTTCGGACTCCTCGGAGATGTTCTTCTCCTTGAGCAGTTGAGAAACCTTTTGCATGGTTTCTTTCGAAACCTGGGATTCGCCGGAGTATACGTCGTATTGAATGTTGAGACGGGCATATGTGGCGATGTATTTCTCGATGCTGAGCTCCCTGAACCTCTTCCATAGAGCAACAGCCTCCTCATCACCTGTAGGTTATCAGTCCCAAGACTCCAAATTGTATCAAAGCTCCCGGGACATACCGTTCTCCATCCTGACGAAAAAGTTCTTGGCTTCCTCGTCGGTGGGCCCATTGTGTGTCTATGAGGTCGGAAGATCAGCACCTCCGCCGGATGAGGTATCTTCGGACCCCGAGGTATTCTTGTTTGAGCAATTAAGGACTCACCTGCTTCACCCCAGCGGCTTCGGCAGCCTTTTTCTCAACCTCCTTCTCCTCTTCAATTATTCTGTTGATTTGGACATAGACCTCAAACAAGTGGTGAATTGGATCAGCCAAGAGCTTCTCCTCTGATCCAAAGCGCTTGAACCCAACACCGAGAATACCTGGAGGAAAGCACTGTCAGATACAGATCGTTTGAAAGGTGGATAAATCGCTTTTCCAAGGGATAGTTGCGGTAGAAGGGACATACCGAATTGTTTTCCCCAATCTCCCAGATAGTTCATTCTAACAACGTCCCATCCGCAGCTCTCATGGAGATTGGACAAGAAACCACCGATGATAGTACTTCTGAGATGGCCAGCATGGAAAGGCTTCGCAATATTGGGACTCGAAAATTCCACAATGACACGTTTGCCCTTGCCGGTGTTGACGGGTCCGTATGCCGACTTCCTCTTGAGGATTGTTGGAATAACGAGCTGTTTCAAGATATCGGTCTTGAAGAAAAACTGGAGAAATGTTCCAGCGACCTTGATAGGGAGTGTGTACGGGTTTTCTGGAAACTGTAGAGGATCAAAGGTTATTACTGCGCGCTAGAAAGAAACCTTTCTGATGCTCCGGCTACGGGAAGAATCGTTTTTTCTTCCAGGGAAGGAAGGGTGCCCACCTTCTCAGCCCACTCTTTTGCAATGGCGTCTGGCTTTTGCCCCTTGAGCCTCAGCCTTGGGATTGCAAGAATTAGGTCCCCTTTCTCAAAGCTTTGAGTCCATTCCAGCGCATCGTAAATCAATTTCGAGTCAACACCAGATATGCCTGCCAAAGTGTCGGAAATATAGCATCTGAAGATATCGACGGGGTTTGTGGTCGGGTTGGAATACGGGAACGCCGGGAAGGAACCAGAGAAGACTCCCAGCGAGCTTAGCTGCTCCTGGAGCGACTCGATGGACGGAGGGGTTGGGAAATCTTTCATTTTTTCGAATGTGTTTGCAGCTGGTATTGATTCTCCGGCTTTCGTAGTTGCTTGCTGGTGGTTGTAGCGGGGTAGAAGGTAGGACTGAAGCGGGGCACCTTTGAGATCACGGATGGGTTGGAAATGGAAGGGGAGGAATGAAGGGTTTTGACGGTAGATGTGAGTCACCGGTCCAGTAGCTGAGACAGAAGTTAAAGGAAGTCGACACACTCGCTTAAACATCCAACAGTCCGTCGCTATTTAAGATACTTTCGATGAGTCGATGAGCTGTTCTATCAGGCACAATTACAACAGAGATGAATATTTTTTTTCCATGGTGGGGGAGTCGAGATGTGGGGAGTCGGGACGGAATATTCCGCGTGGGGCAAGCCGGGTAACGGAAACATATCGTATCACTCGATAGCTGTATATACGGAACACCTATCCCCATGTAGCCAAGCTATTCCACCCAGGCCCATCATAACACAAGGCTACCAGGTAACTTCACATCCTACAACACAAACAACTTACTATAAACCTAGTTTTTAATTCGGTTGCGGCCATTACGCAGTAACATCAGGTGCGAACATCCTAAGCTGGCTCTTTCGGCGTTGTAATTAATGAGACATGCATAAACATGGTATGCTCGAACTTGCGAACGTACTCAGATAAACTTCGCCGTGGTACTCATAAAATTAATTGATGCCGCACTCGGAGTTACTTCATATATTACAGGTATCAATCTCCCCCACTGGTTCTCTCCAACTCTTTTGCTCTTGAGACTCAGCAAATATCGTATGTAAAGTACCTGCGGTTTATAAATTTAAATATGGAAATACGAATCCCAACTGTTTCTAATTATCGCTTCTTTACTACAACAAGCTAAGGAAGTAAAAGCAGGTATCACTCGGGGATAATAAAAGTTTGTCTCTCCCCTCTCTCAGGATCAACCTCTTGCCCTCGGTTCCTACTCATTGTGCGACCAAGATTTCCCAAGTGCGGCAATTCCCATGACTTATTCGACGTTAGGGCGGACATCATTGGTAAAGTTGGTGATGTAGCTGATTTTGGTGATACAGGTGATACAGGTGGAAGAGTGTATGAACCTTGCTCTGGATCTGATGTTGATTGTGGTGGTCGCTCTGACAGCGCCGGACTGATAAGACCCGATCGAATACTCATGTTGTCAGACACGCTCGAAAACACTATTTCAACAGGTCCTGATCTTTTTATACCGCCAAAGGCGGTTCCTGATCCGCTAAAAACGCTTGTTCTTAGACCGATATCCTTCTCATGCTTCACAATATCTTTGAGGAGTAGGTCCATTGAGCTATGCGCATATTCTCCATTTCCCGAATAATCCACGGGTGTCGACTTATTTTGTATTTGATTCTCAGGTTGCCGATATTTACCAATGCCACGGGTTGGTATTTCTTTCAAAATGGCGATGGGATCCCACAACCGTTGCTTCCATGGCGGTCTGATATTTTCGTCTAAATCGATATCCCCCTTAATCGTCCCCTGTCTCGGACTCATCGGTTTTGCGGGGGTGGGCATGAAACCTCTAGATGAGCAATCCCATCCAAGAAGTGTTTTGGAAAAAATCAGCAACAGGAAATAATCGGCAATGATGGTTAGAAAATGTACTGGTAGCAATGCGATCCTTAATGGGATTATTGCGATAGCCCAAAGCGGCTCGGAATGGTTCGGGGGATTAGACCGAGAGCTGGCTGTCATTTTGACATATCCGGTGTTCATGAGGCACCTCAAGCCACCAATTTTATAGAGTTCGGTTGCAGGGAGGAGGAACAAAATCCACACCATGCAATACCATGTGTACCAAAGCTCAGAAGGAACACGTTTTCCTCTTCTTACAAGATTCTCCGCCTCGTCCGTATCTTGTAAAAGCTTTCCCTTTTCTGCCCAGGAGTCTCCGACCACGAGCATTGACGACTGTAGGTACGTGCCGAATCTTTGCGATTTATTCGCAAATATCAAGATGATACTTCCGAGGTTGAGTCCCAGGATTAAAGTAGTCATGATGACTAGCCCCATTGTTACTCCAAAGGCGCTGAGAGTCTGATATGTTTCAGGCATAAACGGCATGCTATATAATGCCTAGAATGAGCATTATACATGCGTTAGATTAAGATCCCGCATACAGTCGTTGAGCATAGATACATACGATCACGACAGTAAGCGGAAGAAATATGATCATCAATACTGTGAGCGTGTGCATGCTTTCAGCCTGAAAATGTGTGGATTAGTCAAATGGTGACTATACAACTAGAAGTCCAAACCTAGATATATATATATATATACCTGAGAAACTGCTGCCCGTGATTCTAACACACCAGAAGCGCTGACCAAGGCGTCTCTCTGAACGTATAAAGGTTAGTCCTTTTGATGTTTTGTATTCTTCTTGTATGTTTCGGGCTTGTTACTCACAAAATCTTTGATCTCGGAATATTTTGCCTCGATCTTTGCCCTAAGCTTCTTTGCCCTCTCAACCTTCCTTTCAAACACCTTTTCGGAACTGAGCTCAGCTTTCGTCATTCTCACTCTCGACCGTATTCTATGCGCTTGTGCGTTTCTGCGTAGATTGGGGAGGGATATTTTCTCGAACTCTTCAATGGCAGTGACAAATTCATTGATACCGTCGGACATCTTCTTAAGCCATTGTAGAGCCCAGTGGTACCGCTTTGTCCTCGAGAATTGGTGATCGTCAAAGAGCAGCTTCTCGTTCTCTTCTGTAAAAAACAGCGCGTCGGCCTATGACAAAAAATGTTATAACTAATGTTCACGCTCGGAATAGATATAGTTACCCGATCTCCCAGTTCCATCTCAAGTTGGTCCAAGACTTTCCACATCCCATCATCAACCGCCCAATCAATCACTCTCGCCAACTTATCCAGAAACACTTCCTCCGGTGCTGTGTATTTCTCCACATCCTTCACATTACGAGGCTTTTCGAAGGCCTTGTCATCAGAATATTCGCCTATCGATGTCACTGTCCAGTTTGTCCCGGTTTCCGTGGCCATGGAATCAAATACAAGAGAAAGCGTTGTCTGGCGGATATTCTTAGGCTTGGAATGGCGGTTTATGTTTTTGGGCGCAAAGACGCCCTCCCACTGAGATCCAAACTTCTTACCTCCGTACGACTTAGGAGCGGAAACCGTGGCTTTGCGTTGATTAGGGTTGTCTTCGTCGAAAAGTTCGAAAAATACGGCGTTGAATGCGAAGGTATCATGGTTCATATATCCCTGAGGGAGCTCATCTTAGTAAATTGCTCCTTAGCCTCGAGGGACTGCTTGAGGCGGCATACCACAAAGTCTTGAAGCGAATGTGGCTCCGGAGAAAGGGCGATTGTCATTGCGGTTAGCAGAGAATCCAGAGGCTCTACATACTCCAACTTCAAACCGCTATAGGCGGAGGAAATTAATAGAGCAATTGCGACGTTGGGAGTGAGCTGTCGGACCACTCTACATGACCAAAGGTTAATAGGTGGACCAGCCCAGATATATATATCTTCAAGGAGATACCAACATCTCACGTCCATATGTGAGATTATTCTCTCCATCTTCATTTATTGCCTCATAAGCAGAAATCTTTGTCATGGTTAGCGCATGCTCTATATTGATAGGTTAATGCAGATCCAAAGATACATATACGTACTTTATCCCAGCCAGGACGTATCCTCGTATTTTTGAGCTTCATCCCCAGTTTTCTCTGTCGGTAAAGTAGTTGGATAAGCATTTGGCAATAATCCCGGATATAGAAGCCAGGACATGTCTTACGGGTCTGGCAAGCGCCTGCCATAAACCTTCAAAGTCCGTTGCTTCATAGTACAACACTTTCTCACAGGACCTATCCGTAAAGTCCCGTAAGTGTATATCGACCGATTGATGGCCGCCGCCAACAAGACTTAGGAATTCGGGGAGCCGTAAGTCATCCGGTTTATCCTCCTCCTCATATCCTTCTTTAGGAACCCAAGAGAAATTGAATCCTGCTTGTCTCAGTTCGTCACTGGCTGCTTTAGGATCTGGAATCGATATATTGATGAATCTTTCCTCGAGTATTTTCACTGATTGAGGTTAGTTGAATACTTAAATTTCAGGTTAGTAGTCGAGGTTGTTGCTACATACTATTTGATTTCAAGGCATCTTCATCAATCCCGCTTAATTCTGCCCATATACTGATATCTTGGTCAAAGGTTTGCAGAGTACTGCTAACATTTCCTAAGTAAGGTGCTGCTTTACTGACGGTTTTGCCGCGAGCAAGATTCTGAGTATTGTGCGGTTGCTGTGCAGATTTAAGTGCTTTCCGCTGAACCTGTAGATACTGTGAGCTCGCTGAGTTTTTCCGGCCCATACTGGTATCGGTACTGGAGCCGATATTCGTGTTGGGCATTCTACTGATAGTTGAGCCGGTATCTTTGTTGAGACTGATACCAGGGCTGGCATTGGCTTTGGAACTAGTGCTGATATTGGCGTCAATATTCGCAGCAGAGGTATTGATCTTTTTGCCATCCCCAATATGCGATACGAAAGCTGCAAGTGCCTGGGTTTGCTCTAACTGGCTCTTCTGAAAGGCCTGGAGTAGGTTTTCAAATCCTAAAACCTTTTCTTGGAGCCTTTTGACTTCCTCTATTTCGGGGGCGCTTAGGTTTTGTTCGCTCATCGTATTCTGCGTTTGAGTTGTATTTGAGATATATATTTTGTGCTAGACACCTGGTTAAGGGCACAAGGGTATTACCCACTATATCATCAACTTCAACTCTATGCATAGGCAACCTACCTAACCCGGGAATACACGCTTTGGCGCATCTCAAATCATATCTGCTTCAATAACAATCACTGTATGCCGATCATATACTCTTCAGGTTAGTAATGCAATGAATACCTATCCCTGTTCAAGCTATGGGGCATTGGCAGCGTGGGCAGCAGATTGGCTAATTCTTAGTATCGCGGTTTATCCACAAATTGGGAATAGCCTGTGGATATTTTCGGTTTCTTTGAAAATGTTTCATGATGCACCTCTCACCGGAGGTGACTCAGGAGGTTGAAGATCGAGAATTAAAAGTGCCTAGGCCTATAAGAAACTCGCCCGTCTCTTTGATAATTACGCGCACTTATGATTAAAGGCTTTCAGATCGATTCGAATAGCGCAGGAATCGAGCACCCAGTGCAAATATTGAAGGAAAAGCTGGCCAACAATGGAACCGAACCCCTCAAGACAACATCACGAAGATAGATATGTGCTGGTGGATAGCCAGTCATAGTTCTATATTTAACTGTTTTTAAGAAGAGCTTAGATGCGAGGACTTTAGCCAATGGTGAAGACTTGGCTTGATTGCCAAGTACCGGGTGTAGGACTCCGGGCCTAGAAGCGCAAATTCGAAAGAAAAAGCAATTTCTTAGGTAACTACTTGTCTACTAACATAAAAAAGTGCTTATGTATGTACTCTACTTCCAACTCAAACCCCACTTACAAGGCCGAAGTGAATTTTCTATGCACTCGAGGATCCTATGGTGGTGCTCACAACGCATGTAGCTAGATAACCGATCTAAAAAGACCAGGTAATAAGTCAACTTTATTGCCTCATTTCTAGATCTCATCTACTCTATATACCATATATACTCTAGATTCACTCACTGCATGCAACGTACTCACTAGCGTTAGATATCCGCAGATAAACTTAAGCTCGATCGATATATTTCTCACCAGGGTCTGTGCCACTGGCCAGCTTACTCTGCGTTAACGAGGAAAGCTTTAATCAACTTTATCTCGTGCAAGGTAAGCTACCTGGACTAGCCTTGCTTGGTCCTAATCATAGAAACCAAGTGAATAGCTAAACGGGGTGAGTCATCATCACTTCCACAACATATCTAATATAAGTTGTTACGATCATAAATTCAATAGATGGCCGCGTATGGCAACGTCTTCGGGCTTCAGGGTGTTCGCGGGCTCGTCTCATGGGAATTCTTAATGACCAGAGACCTCGGCATAATCCACATAACAAAGGTTTATTATAGTTATTCGCTGGTATAGATAAACGCCTTGGCACCTTGGCACCTTGTGCATGATTAGAAGCGGGATGTTCGGCCGTGGGCTGCAAGTTGCAGAACGTATAGATGGTATATATTTGTATGGTATGCAATAGTGGTTCCTTTTACAAACGTCACGAAAGTACGAGTAGATAGCGTATGTAGGTGCATGCTGAGATTTGTAACGCAATACACACTCTGAAGAAAGCTCCCCTTGGATCCCGCAGAGTTTTTATCACATCTCATACTAACGCAAAGACTTGGAACATACTATCTATAGCTTGTTCTCTATCTATGTGCTTCTACATCCGTTTACCCCTATTCCGGCTCCTTCACCGTGCCCAACCTCCTCCATGGCCAGTTTATATTACGCTTACAATGAAGGAGGCGAAAACTTACCCATGAATACATGTACTGTTAAAGAACACGAGGGTTCACACAGACTTACAGAGAGTACGAGACACATCACGTCATCAATCCCACCGCATCGTCAATGATTGATGTGTTGCCTTAATGAGACTTGGTCCCTACATGTCTTGGTTTACTACTGTCTCGATATGGTTACGTGATATTACCATCCTACGGTTACTGTGGACTCAAATCCCTCTCCTCATACATCAGAGCCATCAAGACAGGGTTCCCCCCGGATGGCCCCCCCAAATCTCCACCATACGATCTCTCATCCGACTCCGACCTCACCTCGATCCCATCAAGCTCAGACCCCTCCACAATATAAACAGCAGCATGCTGCAAGGCCCGCAAACACCACAACCATTACAACCAAATTATTTCTCTCTGTTTTTCCTATGTCCTGAGATAAAATTGCGTAGCTGGTATGAAAGTATAAAGCCCGAGGAACAGAACAACCGAATCTCTAAGTTTGCTTTTCTGCGGAGGGAATGTCAGGATTTCTTTTCAGTTATTGCTTCATATTTATATCTTCCCTTTGTTTACTTTCTTTCAGCGGTAAGGTTGGGGAGGGGTGTTGTTCACGCCATAGCATAGGCTCCATGCGATATTCTTGTATGGTGCCCCCAGTCTTAAAGGTAACATGAGAAAAACGCCAAGTCTCGAATAACTTTTCAACCACGATTGATATTAAAAATATGGAAAGAGAAAAGCTGGGTACCATGATGAAGAAGAGTTTGTCTTTCCATATTTTTAATATCAATCGTGGTTGAAAAGTTATTCGAGACTTGGCGTTTTTCTCATGTTACCTTTAAGACTGGGGGAACCATACCCAGAAATAAATGAAACACTGATATAAAAAAAAAAGAAAAAAAACTGTGGACTCAAATCTGTACCGGCCAATTGATTGCGGCGCGCTCAAAAGGAAGCATTCTTTTTCTTCTCGATCAGTGAAAAGCTGCCGCACAGCCGGCTTGAGACGTGTGATAAGTAAAGTTAGTATCCTACATAACTGATATCTGTTTGTGCTTCTCGCGATCGGTTTCACCAAAATTCCTAAGTAATTGGTCCAATCGCTCAATTTATATACTTACTGAAACCCAGAGTTTCCAGTTCAAATTATAAGCTGTCAAAACCCACCAATCAACTTCCTCTATCAGTATGTATGTAGGATACGCGTTGCATATGCAGCCACTAGATTTATCTACGTACCTAGCGTCATTACGTTGATGGCTATTCAGGTGGCCCTTCCAGCGTTAAATCCTCATTCCATCTGCAAACTCAGTCGTTCTTAGATTTTTCTCACCTGAAATCTACACTAGACTGACGACAAACCCTAGGGGTGACGTTAGACATTGCTGTCTACATACATGTATTCCTGGCCAGGAATGCACGAAAAAGCCAAAAATTATTCAACGTAGCTTCTGTACCGGGACGGGGGGTGAAAAGGGCACGTCGAACAAATAATCTTCAATATTGACTACTAACAATAAATACACGTTGTCTAAACAACGTAATAAATGTCGATCTCCATCTTCTGCACATGATTCGCCCAACCCGGATACTAACACAGTCAGCACTTCTTGGAACAATATTCTAGAATCTAATTGATGAATACCTACCATAGCTCTCGCTACAACCGATACTCTATCTCCTGCCTTCATGCTCCTGACGAAATCACCTCCATATCCCGAACCACCCGCAAGCTGTGACCCGGGGCGATCATCCCAACTCCACACAACTGTATGGCTCTTGGTTTCGGAGCTAGCCCGAACGTTACATTGAATATGGCATCTCTCGCATGTTTCTTCTGTATTTCCCTTGGATATAGGAACAGTTTTCCACCCAAGTTCGAATTGACGCGCGGACAATACGTCTCTGCCCTTGATGTTGATGGGGTTTGTCAGTGGCGTTGCTCCCCTAGCTGCTGCAATAGTGACTGGACGCTCCAGAAACGCCTCGAACCAGGTAAAGGATCCTTCATAGATGTCTAAATACTATCAGTAAATAAAGAGCAAGACTAAGATACCGATAAACCCCCACCCCGTCCAGGATTACTACTGCTCCATCCTTGATCATGACTCCAAATCCTAAAAACCACCTTCCTCGCCGGTATGAGAGTCCTCACACAAACCCCACCAATATCTACCCCCTCTGTCTCGCTCTCTGGAATAAATGTTCCCGGCAGGGGCTGGCTCTGCAGACACAGTTCCTCCCCGTTATTTCGGACTATAGTTCCCTCCGCAAGCTTGATGGTATTGTGGGGCCAGTACTCGGCAAAACTGATGATCTGGTCGACTAGTTCAATTGGGACCACTTTTAGAAAACATTTTTTGACTGATAGGACATCTTGCAGGGTGGGTTGATGGTTATTAGCGTTATTGCTAGTACTTGAGGCCATTTTATTTCTGGATTTGATGACTGGGTTGAGGAAACGAACGATGGAGGCTATCATAAAGCTACTCATTCTGAACAAAGGAAGGATATGTATGAAGTGGGATTTGGGGGGGGGAGGGGAATATGTTTGTTTTATGGCTTCAGTATTGTATTGTTGGTGTTTCCTACTTAACATGCAGCCACGTTTACCAACCACATGCTGGCTGAGCTGCTTATCTAATGTTATCGTTCGACAATCTTCAGCCGCATACATGTATGTACATGCATTCTCGAGGCTTGGCGCCCCTAGAGATCTATGCACTGAATTCCCTTGAATTGATACAATCAATTTGTAAAAACTTACTCGGGAAGAGAAGTTATTCCGTGTATGATAATTCAAGTACCTACGGAGCATGCATCAAGTATCACTCGGGCTTGGCGTACTTATACGCTAATTGACGGTTCACAGCCTCTCACTCGCGTATTAGCAGCAGCATGGCACATGTTGGTTTCAGACCTGTTCTCCTTGTGTCAGAAGGTGGTTATAATGAAAGTTTCTCACATTCTAATACGATTCCAACAGTTATACGAGCACATAATGACCCTCTATTGTGTTCTAGTCAAGCAAGTAGCCAAGTCTCGTATACTTCATTTTAGACTCTCTATTCTCTTCACATACCCACACGTACAAGTATAACGTATTTAGAAAAGACAAATTGATTTTTAATTTATCGATCTTACGTATACAAGCTTACAAAAAAATGATATAAAAATTAATAAATCATTGAAAGAAAGCATACTATAATTATTGCGCGCCGTGAAACCTCTTTCACAATACTAAACAAAGGA